ATTGGGACACGTGATATGAAGATGGGAATAACCAAAGATAGGACCGTAATGACAAGAGATTGCCGAGGAGGATCGATAAGGGAAATGCAAGACAAGACTGCTGACAGGAAGGATAACTCACAAAGCGGGCATTCTGGAGGCATGTTACGACCTCTTCGGGTAAGCTGTTGGACATGCTGGACATTGATACAAGGTGCAATATTGCCCAAGACGAGAGAGAAAGGAGCACGGTCCCGCAAGATAGTCAAAGAATAGCTGCGCGACGCGGGTGATGCTTGGGTCACGGGCTGTGTTTGGTGGGTGGGATGCGACAGGAACCGGGCGGCGGAACGATGACGTTGGAACAGTCCGTGCCATGTCTCCGCCTGATAGGTTGCGCGTCCCCCAAGATGGCCGCTGGCATATATGTAACCACCATGGTATCTGAACCCGCAATGAACGCCCCACCTACACTTGCGCCCGTGGACATGACGGAACCCTTCAACCCGGACTTCAACAGCGCATCCGACCCCGCAAAGGACGGCGCCCTCGGATCCCCAATACAAGAGGCTGCTCCCACAACGTCGGAACAGCGGAGTACTACCCAGGATGCGCATACCCAGCAGCGGGTCCATGAGATCCTACATTCAGACGTGGGCGTCACGACCCTGCTAAATCGCCTCAAAGCCAGCATTTCAAGTGCTAGGGTCAGTGGGCGCCAACTTTGACTATGCAGCCCAACCCGCTCACATACGTGGTAGGACTTTGCGGGCTTTCTGAAGCGCCGGGGCGCCCTCGAGGAGGAACATGCGAGCACCTTGAAGAAACTCAGCCGGGGGACACTCGACGGCGTGCGTAAGCCCGATTCACGACATGAGAGCTATCAGACTCAATTCGAGCAAGTCCTCCACGCCAACGAGCGCATCGCCGACAATGGCACCCAGTTTGGGCTCGCCCTGCATGCCATGCACGAGAACCTCCTGCAGCTAGCCAACAAGATGGATGGAAACCGCAAGACGTGGAAGCAGCAGGGACTGTCTGCTGAGAACAAGGTGCAGGAGGCCGAACGGCTGGCTGAGAAGGCCAAGGCCAAATACGACCAGCTGGCCGAAGATCTCGACCGCGTCAAGACGGGCGACACAGGGGCGGGCAGGAAGTTTGGTCTGAAAGGACCCAAGTCAGCAGCCCAGCATGAAGAGGATCTTCAACGTAAGACCCAGGCAGCGGACCAGGACTACGCCAGCAAGGTGCAGACGGCTCAGGCCTTACGCAAGGAGCTTATAGCCACTACGCGGCCTCAGGCTGTCTCTGCACTACTAGACCTGATCAAGGAAACAGATGCTGCCCTTACCATGGAAATGCAGAAGTTTGGTAAGTATCTCGTCTCTGAAATTGAGACCCAACTGACACCGTGCCAGCCTCATTCAACGAGAAACTCGTGGTTAACAACGGCCAAGTTGTAACACCCCAGCCGCTCAAGGGCAGCACCGCTCACCCCCCTCCCAGCATCAATCAGCTCATTTACCAGATCAACAATGAGCGAGACTTTGAGGAGTTTGTCTTGAGCCAAGGATCCAAAGCGCCTCTTTCCAGAGCGGAGCTTCAATATGTCAAGCATCCGACCCAGAACCAGGGACGATCTCATCCAACCCCGCCAGCTGGAAATGGCCGTCCTTCAATGCAGCTGCAGAGCCAACCCCCGCCGACCTTCTCGACGCCGCAGCCAGACCCCCACCCTACTTCGCCCTTGCAGCAGAGCTCTTCGCATGTCGAGTCTTCACAGCCGCCTTCATTCGGGACGCACTCGCAGCAGCAGCCACCTCCTTCGTTGCAGCTGCAGCACCACCAACCACAACCGCCTCAGCCAGCACCATACCCAACCAACGCTCCCTATTCACCTACATCCCAGGCTCCTTACCCACAACCGGACTATCCGCGTGGCCCGGTTGGTCAGGCCACAGCACAGCAGACTAGTGGTGTGCTATACCACTCTGGTCAACCTCCTATCAACCCCATCTTTGGTATCACTCTAGAAGAACTGTTCCGGCGAGACGGCTCTCCTGTGCCGATAATAGTCTACCAATGCATTCAGGCCGTCGATCTCTATGGCTTGGAGGTCGAGGGTATCTACCGCATTCCGGGAACCTCGTCACATATCCAGCAGATGAAGGCTTTGTTCGACAGTGGTACGTAGTATAAATGATACACATCAGCGGTTCAACTAACGCAGGGTAGATGCCTCTCAGGTCGATTTCCGCAATCCCGAGTCCTTCCAGCACGATGTCAACAGTGTTGCAGGATTGTTGAAACAGTTCTTCCGCGAGTTGCCTGATCCGCTCCTCACGCGCGAATTCTATGGCAAGTACATTGAGGCTGCGCGTATTGACGATGATACAATGCGCCGAGACTCGATGCATGCTCTGATCAACGCCCTGCCTGATCCGAACTACGCAACGCTGCGTGCTCTTGCCCTGCATCTGCATCGGGTCCAACAATCTTCAGAGATTAACCGCATGAGCACTGCCAACTTGGCCATTTGTTGGGCGTAAGTAAAGACGTACTGAGTACTTGCCGCGCCAGCTAATCATGTACAGACCCTCAATCATGGGCCCCCATAAAGGCAACAACATGGCCGATGCTGGACTTCAAGCCCGCGTGATTATCACCATCCTAGACAATGTGCTTCAGATATTCGACGAGGACTAGACGAGTCGGAAATGTTGGATATGTCACAAATCTCTTCGAAGAGAAATGTTCAATTTGTGCAGGTGACACTGCTTGTGCAGAGTGGTACTCGGCGGCGATCTGCCATCTTTTGCCTTGCAGATGGCTTTATTCCGTAAGCATGGGGCAGTATGGCTGTGCTGTATCAGGGGCATATGACGCGTCGTGTCGAGTTGTATTTGGGCGATAAGGAATATGGGGTATTGGTGGGCAGTGGTAGATATCCATAGTGTGACAGGAGAAGACAGTGCCACTGGGCTGGAAGAAGGCTCGTGCTTGGAGATGGGCCTGACATGGTTTGAATATGAACAGCCACAATGGCCAATATCAATATACGCGAGTCAATTGACCGAGCGATGAAAAGTGCGCTGCTGCCGAACGAGGATTACGTAGATGGCTGAAGGAATCAAGTGGAGACGTATGTCGTCGATACATGCGTAGTGGGGCAGACTTACCCCAGTGCCCCGGGCACGCTAGCTGGGTTGACGGGGGGGAGCTGGGGGGTAATATGTAGGTGAGGGGAAGCTCTAAGTCGCCCAGGGTCCCAAGTACGCCCACGCTGCTTCACCCACCCACACACTTGCTGACATCAACGATTTCTCCGTTGGTCCACCTCTTGGCCTCCTTCTCTACCTTCAACACCATGCTTTCACGTCGTGCTTGTGCCAGCGTGCGTGGCAGGCTAATCCCACAACCAATTGCCACTGTCCGCACGCGAGCTTTTGGTGCTACAACTGCGGCGCAGAGCCCTGCGCGAGCTCCCGCACTTGCCGACATCACGCCAGACAGTGCGGCGAGTTTTAACGAGAAGCAAAAGAAGTTCCGCGATGGCCTAGTAGCAGCCCAGAAGCGAAAGGAGCAGGAGGAGAGTACGTCATAATAACCCCAGCAGCAAACCGACCTTCAAGAACGCTGACATGAGCCATTGCAGAAGAGGCTCGCGCTCGTGAGCATGAGAATGCCAAAAAGAAGGGCGGTGCATTATCGTCCCTCATCTACGGCACACCCGAAGGTCGCGAGCTTGACAAGGACATTGAGCGAAGTTTCTCGCAGGTCCTAGCCCGCGGCAAGTACGTTCATTCGATCGTCTTCCACGAAGTCAAGCAGGAAAACGTTGAAGAGTACACCGAGTTGGTTGGCGGCTGGTATCCCAAGATGGCCTCGATCCCCGAGAACAAGGTCCATCTGGTAGGTAGCTGGAGAACTGAAGTTGGCGACTGCAACACCTTTGGTAAGCTCTCGAGTCTCCGCCATAGCTTGTCTCGTTCCTCTGCTGATCGCACTACACAGTGCACATCTGGGAATACCAGCGCTACGAAGGATACCACGAGTCGCTACACAATATCCAGTCGCATCCCGAATTCCCCGCCTTCGATGCCAAGCTCAAGAAGTTGATCTCCGGCAAGCGCAATTCCCTTATGCAAGAGTTCTCTTTCTGGCCAACTACACCACCACGCCAGCTTGGTGGCATCTTCGAACTACGCTCGTATACACTACACCCAGGCAACCTGCTAGAGTGGGAGACACACTGGCGACGTGGGTTGAAGGCCCGACGAGAGGTCATGGAAGGTGTAGGTGCTTGGTTCGTTCAAATCGGCGACCTCAACACAGTGCATCATCTATGGCAGTTTGCCAACCTCGAGGAACGCAAGATCCGTCGTGAACAGAGCTGGAGCGTGGAAGGGTGGGGCGAGACGGTGCACAAGACGGTACCACTCATTCAAACCATGAAGAGCAGCATCCTCATTCCCTGCTCCTGGAGTCCTGTGGCTTGAGATGCACCCAATGGAAGCAGAACATGACTCGAATTTAGCATTCTACGGGACGAGAATGCAATACTTGTGCACAAGCCAGACCCCTGCTCTCCAGACCGAACACCACTCATCACCGGGCTTCAGAAGTATAGAAGCCTGCTTGGTACATGAACTGATCAAAGCATCACTCAATCGCAGGATTGAGGGGTGGTGTTAGCTCGGTTTAACTTTGCAATATTATGGTTTGATACAATGTATTTATTGAAAGCATACTTTAGTCACCATGCTGGCCATTTTGATTTCAGAACAAGGTTTGCGAGAGTAACGTCTGTCAGTCGCCCAGTGTTTGCCCACGTGTTCGCGCGAGTGCAAGCGTGGCAGGGAAAACAAAGCAGGCCAGAGCGGCGGGGTACGTCATACGATATAACCCCACGCTCGGGCCTCTTCTCCCACGCACACACCGACGCAAAGTTTACTCTCCTCGCTGCGACAACACGACAACAATTGCTAATACCGTCTTGGTCCAGGAGGACTCGCTCTGCAATGGTGTACATTCGACAGGACAAGCTGCCCAAGCTCAAAGAGTACAAGTACTCTGGTGTGGATCACAGTCTTCTCTCGCAATATGTGCTGAAGCCCTTCTACACCCATGTCGTCATCAAATGTTTTCCCATGTGGATGGCGTAAGTGCTGTCACATATCGACCATTTACACTGCTAACCGTGTCCAGGCCGAATCTTGTAAGTATGATGTTTTCGGGACCCTGATCCGCTCTACAAGCAGCCAGTTGAACCCCACCTTGACCGCAAATATTTGGATGAGCACTAACACGGCTGCACAGATCACGTTGACTGGATTCAGCTTCGTTGTTATCAACTTCCTTACTATGCTATGGTATACACCGACGCTTGATCAAGACTGTCCACCATGGGTGTACCTCAGCTGGGCTATTGGCCTTTTCCTGTATCAGACATTTGATGCTGTCGATGGAAGCCAAGCCCGCAGAACTCGCCAGAGTGGTCCCCTTGGTGAATTGTTTGATCATGGAGTTGATGCGATAAACACGACATTGGAGGTGCTGCTATTCTCTGCAGTCATGAATCTCGGCCAAGGATGGAAGACAGTCCTTACACTTTTTGCCTGTCAGTGACATGTGACCTGGCGGATAGAAGTTCACCTACTGACCAGCGCAGCATCATTGACATTCTATGTCCAGACTTGGGACGAATACCACACGCATACATTGACGCTTGGTATTATTTCAGGGCCAGTCGAAGGTATTGTCATACTGTGCATTGTGTACGCCTTGACAGCCTTTCTTGGCGGTGGTAGCTTCTGGCAACGCCCCATGCTTTCGACTTTGGGCATCAAACAATTCGACTTTATCCCGGATGTACTGTACAATATGGCATGGAATGAATGGTACATGGTTCAAGGAGGGTTTGTGCTGGTTTTCAACACCGTTCTAAGGCAAGTGTAGCTCTTCAGATGTTAAGAACCAGACTGACAGGATTAAAGCGCCTTGAACGTCATGAAAGCGCGCCGCGCACGTGGTCAAAAGACACGCGTTGCACTACTTGGACTACTTACATTTGCGGGCGCCTGGGTCCTGATCCCTGCCTACTTGTACCTTCAACCCGTCATTCTGCACCACCATCTGGTACCATTCGTTTTCTACGCTGGTCTGATCAACGCCTACTCGGTTGGAAGAATGATCATCTCCCATCTCACAAAGTCACGTTTCCCAAGGGGCAACGTACTCATCTACCCTCTAATCTTCGGAGTCATTGACTCTCTTGGACCCTGGCTGCAAGAAAACTTTGGTGTGGGCTGGCCGAGCGCTTTGGGTAACGACGTTTATCAAGTAGCATTCGTCTTCATGTGTCTGGGACTCTCTATCGGAGTGCATGGAAGCTTCATTGTGGACGTCATCTGGACTATATGTGATTATCTCGACATCTGGTGTCTTACTATCAAGTACCCATATCAGCCAGTGGCTGAGAATGAAGAAAGGAAGAGTCAGTGATGAGGTGGCTGGGGTTTGGATATATAGAGACGCGTAGATACAAGTAAAAATCACTCTCTGTTACTATCGGACGAATGCTACACTAGCCATACATCTTCCATTATCACCCGAGATGAAATATTGGACTAACCATCTCAAGTCAATCTCAATTAGACCTGGAACCTGCGGTACCGGGGGATGGGACCAGCAGGCCTGTCCTTGCACTCTTCATGTCTCTTCTGGTTCTTCTTGTAGTACTCTTCAAGGGAAGCCGTTACCTTATCCAGTTCGCTGTAGGGTTGCTCAAGAGCAAGTTCATCGACTCTAGCCTTGATAGATGCTTCCGAAAAGAGGCCCGATCGTCCATTGAGATCAGCAACGTTGAACGGCCTAGCAGACCAGCGTGCATCCTCAGGATCATGGAAGTCAGTTGTCTCGTTGTACCCAAAGTTCTGTAGCTTGGTGACATCGAATGCAGCCATCATGTCCTGGTCTTCGTGGATGAGGTTGTGGCAGTGGAACATGTAGACGCCGTCCCAAGGAGCATAATGCGCCTCCACAAGCACCGTCTCGTGACGACCGAGCCAGACCACATCCTTGAGTCCCGCCTCCTCATACGGCATGACACTGCGCGTGCTCTCAGAACCGTACCGGGCAACAACCCTGAAGTCAACCAAGTGCACGTGGATAGGATGCGACCATCCACCCGACGAGTTCTCCAACTCCCAAAGCTCAACCGTGCCGCGAGGAACCTTTGCCAGGATACGATTCTGCACATCAGCAAACCCGATGCCATTGATACGCCACTCGCTGTTGGTACGGTGGAAGCGGAAGTGGTGATCGATGGTCGTCTTGTCAGCCGGGAACTGGATTGTGGACAGCTGCGCGGGCACCACCGAGTTATCAACCACGGCAGTGCTGCTAACACGGAACCGCATCACCTTATCCGTGTTGGCATAGTCATCATCAGTACCGACACCGTTTGCCTTGGCAAAGTTCTTCAGGTCAATCGCTTGGCCCGCAAAAGGCGCAAAGTCAAATACAATCTCGTAGCGCTCCGCCGCCGCAACGTACATATCGGATGTCTGAACGGGGTGCGTAAGCAATCCCGCGTCCGACGCGATGACTTGAAACGGAAGCCGCGTAGCAGTCGCATCAGCTTTTACAAAGTACAGTGCGAAATTGCGTGACACGGCTGCGTTGAGGAAGCGGAGTCGGTACTTGCGCGGCTCGACGGACAGGAAAGGCCAGGGCTGGCCGTTGACGTGGATGATGTCGCCCCAGAGGCTGTTGTCCTCCCCGAGGCTCGACTGTAGGGTGCCATCGGCGTTGTAGTATTTTGAGCTCAGCACGAGGGGGATGTCGTATGTGCCGTAGCCTGAGGGTAGGCCGAGAGCGTCTTCGGCCGGGTCCGTGATTAGGTATGCGCCGGCTTGTCCGAAGTAGGCGTTTTCTGCCGTCTGGTGGGATTAGTATTTTTGTTGAGGGGATAAAAGGGGGGGTGGTGGCGAGGAGGGGGGGAACTTACAAAGTGCATGGCGTGGTCGTGGTACCAAAGGAATCTTGCGGCTTGGTTGTTGGGGTAGTAGTAATCTAGAGGAGAGTTTGTTAGTATGAGAGGGGATTGTCAAGGGGAATGACGGTCCAGTGTTGTACGTACCTTTGTATTGGCCTTGCTGAATCAGATCTTCAGCCCATCCGTCAAATGGAGCACGGGAAGGCGAGCCATGAAGATGGATGGAGCTCTCGCGGTCACCTTGATTGACGAAGCGCACCACGGACTCTGTTCCCCTGGGCACGATGATGGTGGGACCAGGCGAGATGCCATCGTAGCCCACGAGACGAGCAGGACGCAGACTGGGGTAGACCTGCTGAGTGAAGGGCTTGATGACAATCTCGTAGTACCAAATCTCCTTGCCAGTAACAGGGTTTGTGAATTTACTATGTCGAATCAGTATTTTGCCAGAGCACTGAGGGTGTGGTGGCGGGGTGGGAGAACTTACTACTTTGGCTGCTTGGCTGGGGGGATGGGCAGTGCCTTGCCAAAGATGAGAGGATACTCTGGGCTTTCCCAGTCCTTCGCCATGAGAGTAACTACATCGGCTGGATCATCTTCGACAATAGATGCCAGTGCCACTTTCTCTGCTTCAGGAGTGTCATCGACATATTTGGCGGGTCGCTCAGCAAGAACTTCGACTTGGCCGTAGATGCCTTTGACAAGCGAAGCGAGCTGAAGAGCTGAGAGGAAGTACTTGGAGACCATCTTGAACAATGAAGGTGTTGAGAAGCGGATGCTCAAAGGATGAGTGGTGAGGATACTTCTCGACTGGAAACCTCTACTCTTTATACACATCAGTGGCGAGCCATGGTGTTCTGTCTGGTTAGTTCCTTTCCTCCCACTGCACACCTCATCCCACTTCTCCATCCCCTGAACTCGTCGTTCATCAGACGAGGTATGTCGTTATCTTTGGTATGAATCGTGACAAGCTCTCTGCTGACTTGCTTGACCGGCGATTATTTCTTGGAGGCGCCGTTGGGGGCGTGAACTATACAGGGGATAGGAATAGTTCAGCTGCAATCCAAGACGGAAGAACATCCTTTCTTGAACTCCCAAGACGCCATGTTTCATTGAAACGTGGTGCCTTTGGCCACACGGACGAAGTCTTTGGCGCTCGAGGACCCTGATCTGGTTGTTCACTGTGTCTTGGCTACTGTGCACATGGCCTTGCCAATACTTCCACCGTATGATTGCGGTATATTCTCGTCTAGGAGGGAGGGTAGACTTGTCTTGCTAAGCGTTTACAAACTTATTTCTTGTCGCTTAAGGTATCCACTACATGATCAATTGTCGCCTGAGGTCTCCACTATCTGGCCTGTTTCTTACCTCGATCGGCCTACCGCCATCTCGATCGTTCATGGGCCACTGAAAGGAAATGAAAGTAGTTCAAGATCGTCATGCGGTTTAGCACTGTATGCAGGTGTCTGTAAGGGGGATCTTCCACCTACTTACACACTACGCGGAAGTAGAAATCGCTCATCCGGTGAGATATAATTGGACAAGCATGTTCCCTGTGCCTATAACCTCCAAGCATGACAGACTTAGTCAGGATACTTGAAATGACACATGTAGGCATAACGTAGTTTAGGGACTTCTGCGGGCTTGTCATAGACAGGGTTGACACTGAATGAGCTGTATCGTACCCCGGACTCTGTGGAGCCCTGAGTCTGGAGTGCACCTACTTTTACTGTAGCTAAAGCAAAAGTTAGGATTTGCTAGCAGGATCCGATGGCCCGTGTTTCAATACTCCTGCCAAGTACGCTGTCCCACAGAATTTTACCCCAATGCTAGTGACTGTCAAGTCCAGACATCCAATCGAAGACACACAGCCGGGGCGGGAGGCCAAAGATGGCATCGTGCCGCTCCGCCTACTTGTCGGACTTACTTTACATAGCCTACCTCGAATCACTAACCAAAAGCCACGCTGAAATCTAGCCCACGTGCCCGCTCCTAGTAGTCCGAAGTCTTGTTAGGCCTTGTGTACGGCTTAAGCCCTCAGGATTCCTTGGCGTGCTAAAACGCGGAGAGAAACGCGGAGGCTCCGCACATGCATGAACAACCATGTGTGCGGACCGAGCCCGGCGGGAACCTTCTGGATGACAAGCGAACGGCACCCCCACGCATTATTCCCTGACTCACTTGACGTATCAACTTGCCTTCATTTGCTACAGGAGAGCCGTGCTGTCTGTGCTAATAGTAAATATAGCACTCTTGGAAGCTCATGCTTACGTACTACCACCATCTTAGCAGCCGTTTTAATCGCCTACGTACGTTGGAACGGTTCTTCTTCGCTAAATGCATGGTCGACTACCGTTACTACTATATCGAGCAAGATCGGCACCGCGCACATGGCCGTGGTCTGAGACTACCGTACACTAATACACATGCAGCCTCATGCCGTCAATGTCTCGGGGTACTTTCTCGATTGTCATCAGGGCCTCGGTATATTGGCCTGCGGAACCGCCACCGACATAGACTTTGCATTCGAGCCTCGTGGCCCGCTGGCTTGGCTCAACCTTGGCAGGACGGACCACAGACCGTCCGCTGACTACTATACTGCCCCCAAGAATAGCTATTCTGGGCGCCATTCAGCTATATGCAAGGATTCATTGCAATTAGGGGTGTCCGGTGAAGACCTGGTGGATCCGTCACGTGAATTCTCTGTAAAAGATTATACTCGCATACACGGCGGCCGGGTTCCTGCAGTGACAAGCCCATACTATTGAAAAAAGGAAAAAATCTCGGTGAGTAGCAGAATTGAGTATAGCTTCTGGGCAACGACTCCACGAGGTGGTGTTGAGACAATACTGAGCACTGCTTGGCATGTACTCGACTCCTTTCTGTGAAGGAATCATATGTTCAAGTGTGGATTTGGGCAACTGTTGGGATGAGAGATGGAATATAAAAAGGACATGAAATGACCAGTATTGAAACTATTATCAGCAAATTCAAGGCTTTAAAGTTCCACAGCAGACTTTGCAATGGCGCCCAACAATCTTTTCTTCACGTTGTTTCTCTACGTCCCTCTTCTTCTGTTCATCCGCAACGTCTTTGCACAAGACGCTCCACTGTTCGTTCAGGGAGGCTTCGAAGATGCAACTGCCACCGATGACACCTACAATTCAGGAGGAACTATCACTGTGAATGGCTTCAACATTCAAGTACCCAAGAACCTTCAAGTCCAGTTCCCTGCAGCATGGGTACCTTGGAAGGACTTCACAGCCGACAAACAGTCCATGTTGGGCTATGAGATCAACGTATGCTACCCTTGAATCTGAAACTCATATCTCCCATAGCTAATCTCAAGAACAGGTTATTGGAAACTTCATCAACGGCAAGCCGATTGCAGCCCAAGTCATTGCCTACGAGTTCTTTGAGGGACTCAGCAGTGGATTCATTGAGTCTTTGAACTTTGCTGAGGGAACCATGAAGATTGTCTCGGGTCCCACTGTTCGCATCAGTGATCCCAATGCCGTCTTCTCCGTCGGATACACCCAAGCACCTTTCTTTACCGCTGATGATGAAAACCCGAGCATCTCTTCTTTCTCTGGCTTTCCCATGTGTATCCCAAGAAGCACATCTGACCCGCTTTGCCCATCTACCAACCGCCCCTTCCAGGGCTCCGGTACATTGTAAGTCCGATGCACAAGCGTCTCGTGGCACACTGTTGAATGCATGCTTATCAGTTTACAGTTCCGTCCCAGACCCACTTTCCATGGCACCCTTCCTCGTCGGCGACTTTGTCACTTTCTCAGGCATCCGCCGTGGTAACGAAGTCATTGCCTACAGCATCGTCGCCCAGAATGTCATGATCACCACACTGGGCGATCTTGTCTACCTACGCATGGAACTCGGTCTCCTCGGCATCGACAACATCAGCCCCAACACCGAGCTCGCAGAGTCTCGCGTAAGTTCCCGATATCCTTCACACATGGATGATTCCTGCGCTAACAAGCGAGTCTAGTTCGTCGGATTCGCATCCAACCCACGAACCACCGTCGCCCTCTACGCAATGGACACTGACCCTTGCACCGGCAAAGTCACAGACCGCATCATCGCAACCATGGGTCTCCGCGGTGGCCGCAACGAGCAAAACAAATTCGAATACCGATCTGACATTCTCGGTGGCTACGCACGCGAATACCGGGTTGTCGCGGAAATCAACGGTGTGCCCAAGACACGCACGACCAAGAACGGTCTTCTGGCTGGCACTTATGTTCAGCCTATCAACGTCTGGGTCCACGGCGAGCAGGTCGTCCCCGGAACTGCGCCACCAGCCAATGACTTTAGCCAGATGCCATGGTTGACTAACGGCATTGGTGTTGACGAGAACGGCAACTTGTGGGGTCCTTTGGATCCCTTCCCTCAGACGGGTGTGTTCATTGATCCTCCTCAGTGCGGACCTACGAGCTCGTTGATGTTCGAAGGTGACAACTTGAACACTACCTGGACTCCTTCTGGTAAGTCTCCATCCCATCCCCTATCCCTTGTAGCTCTCACGCGATATCAGTGCTAACGGATTTGTTTTCGCTTTAGCCGAACTGTTGAATGCAACCGTACCTGCTGATACCGTGGCTCCCCCGAGCAACGTCACCGCCCGAGGTGTAGCTCCTAGCGAGATTGTCCCTGCTCGCACGAAGCGCGGGGTCCCGAATGTTCGCTGGCTCTCGAGAGCGAGATTGGAGAGTGAGACTATTCCTCAAGGTGACACTGTCATTGCCAAGGTAGACTAAGGAGAGATGACATGGGCATCTAGAGGGTAGTACGAGTTGATCAGATGAAAGGTTCTAGCATTGCTCGCCGAGTGGGCAACTTGAGCTTGTAATCATCCAATTCTCTTTAATTTCTTATGTACCATTTCAATAATCTGTAGTCCAATCGCACTCTTTTACCTCCCCACCCCCTAGTCTCGAAGCCTTTAGTAAATATCCCATACCGTTATTTTTGTTGCTGTTTTATTTTTCGTACAGCAGCCAAGTTTCCGAGGCGAGGGTGAAAATATCAGAGGCTAGAGGTGTGGATAGTATTGTGCTGAATGTATATCCTTCATGGAGTTAACTATCCAACCCATTCTCGCCTACGTACCCTCCTATATCCGCAAGTAATTCAACCATTCTAGTAGCCCACACCGCCCCTGCACCATGCTGCTCAAGACGCCCCAGCTCGTCACTCGTCAAGAGCGCCATTCCCCACCCCCCCATCTCCACCGAAAACTCACCAACGTCATCGCGCAAAGCCATTGTTCCATTCGATAAGCATTCTTCGATGAGTTTACAAGTCTTTCAGCATGTATATTTTACTTCGCATATCTGACTCCTTGCCTCTTAAAATCACGAAACGGCAATCTTTCCATCATGACCTCTAGTATATCCCTGTACAGAAATACCAAGAGGAATGAATAGTGTCAGATAGGTACAATGTGAAGATGATGATAGTGTGTATGTAGATAGTCATCTGAAAGCTTGGTTCTCGGTATTAAGAATGCCATTATGCGCATCGCGTCCCTCATATCTGACGGGGGGACATGGCGCGCCTTAAGTTCAGCATTCTACAAATCCGAACTGAATGAAGATGGGGTTTGCATGAATTTGCTGAGAAAAGGGCAAGATTTGAAGAATATTTCATATAAAAGAGTGGTATGTTTTTTTTTAATTTGTTCCATGTATTCCTACTCGCCCCTTTCCTTGTCGATTTCGCTTGACAATTCGACACCTCAATCCCCCCCAACTTCTTGCTTCCCACCTGACCTTCCCTTCAACGAAACTCTGACGCTTTCGCTTGCAATACTTGCTTCCCTGGCTTTAAAAGAAAGTTCCCTTGTGGCCGGCCTGGACAGTGCTATCGTCCAGCACAGCATCAGAATCGTGGTTATCGAACGCACCAGGTCGGTCGAAAGACCGGGGAATAGGTCGGTCAAAGGCATCAAAGCGACGGCCCTGAACCCTGGCCTTTGCCCAAAGGAAGCCGATGCGAAGGGCACAAGCGCCAAAAGCCCAGAGAAGGCCACCAACCGGCGCAGCTACGAAAGCACCTGTGAGTTGGTTAGCAAACAATCATGTTTTCAAAGGAACAAGCATCAACTTACCAAATGCGCTCCAGTCATTCGCATACAATCCGCCTTCAAGCAAGAGCAGTTTACTAGCGAGCGTGGCATCGCCGTCATAGTACACAAGTCCAAACAAGAAGATTGTAAAGATACCGCCAAGTCCGCCAACCACGAAGTCGAATCCACGATACCAGTAGAATCTCTCACTCAGACCAATGACCAGGCAAGGAACAACAGCTGCACTGACCAAATCACTGATCAGGAAGATCTGCAGGATATCCGGGCTGCGTAGTGCAACAACAACGACAGGAAAAATGAGCGCTACAACCATACCGCGGATGACCCAGATGTTGAGCTTGTTGCGGAAGAAGTCGTTGCTTCCTGTGCTAATCATAGCGGACTGGAAAGAATCAAACGCAGCGGTAGATAGCGAGACAGTCATGACGAGGACCACACCTACAACCCAAGCGGGTAGTTTTTCGAGGAGAAGGAAGAAAGCAAGGGAGCCATTGGCTGAGTCGCCAATTGTGTAGGCACCAGACCAGGCGGCAAGCATACCACCGACACCGAGCAGCGTGAGAATGATAAGGATGCCCATGCTGGCAAGCGAGACTCCAATCCACAGGTCCTTGTCTGTACGAGAGGCAAATGTGCGCATCCAGAATCCAGAGAGGAAAAAGTCATTGGTAAGGATAGCGACGGGGAGGATGTAAATGAGTTGCCATCCCAACAAGCTGGGCTTGAGGTAGCCGGACTGATCAATCAACGAGCGGTCAATGTCGGTTTCTACACCAACAGCAATCACTCCCAGGATGATGAGGCCAATGACCATGGCGCCCTGGATGTTGTCGGTGACGAAAGAGACTTTGAAGCCACCAAGTGCTGTATTATGGGTCAGCCTCCCCTCTCATCTCAATACTACGGTGATCTTACAGGTATAGATGGTAGTAATGGCACACTCAACAATGACCACTGGAAGCCCATTCAGTCCAGTCAGGAGAGTGACAATCTGCTGGAGTGCCGAAAGTTCAGCAACCATGTATAGAAACATGGTGATGAGGGTGCAAAGACTGAGAAATATGCCGGCAACAGCTCCATACCGTTGTCTGGTCCATTCGGTCAGGACAAAGCCTTCTGGACATTTGCGCCTGATAATGGGGCCTAGCGCGCCAAAGACTAGAAGCGGCAGAGATGAAGACAGCGCATATACCAGTAGCCCCTGCACACCAGCGATTGTGGCAATTTGAGGGTACGTGAACAAGATACCCGATCCGAGAGCTGTAAGTTAGGGAAGCCTAGGTCAGCTTTATGCATCAGCCAAAAGGGGGGGTATTGTGTAGGGGGAGTAGCGGCAGCACGTTCCTCACGCAAGTATTATCTTGATCGAGTTCTTACGGTACTTCTCAGCTTTCCCTTGGTTGGAGTCAACACATCCTAGATAAGAAGATCTTTGATGCAACAACCCCAGCCTCGGTTCCGCGCCCGTAGTGTAGCCGCACAAAAGACTGACCTCATACCAACTGCGCAACGAGTAGTGGGCTCTTGGGCACAGCAGTCATGAGATCAGGCTTCCGTGAGAGATCTCAATACGAACCTGGAGGATTTCAAGTTTTCTCGTGCGAAAACACACATGCTCCAACGACGTCATCATACTGTCATTGGAGAGCCGTCATGATGGTGGATTATCGATACTGCCGCTGCTCTTCATGTGCAAAGCACAGGTGCACGAGTGCACTCACCCGATGCGATGAAATTGAAAGCGAGCGGAATGCCTGCACGGCGGTTAGCTGGTTTGTTGCAAGTGAAAGTAGCGGAGGCTGCTTTGCGCGGTTGCGCAAAGTTGGGGAAGTCGCATGCGCTGACCCTTTTGTGTGCGATTGCTAGACAGCCACTCAGTCTTAGACTGGTGTCGCAACCGCCATGCGACGAAGCATCCCAGGACCCTGGTTTGTGAAATTAGTATGATTCGCAACCCACAAGGGCCATTTCCTGCACTCACAAAAAGGCGCCTAGAGTAAGGTAGATGATGGCGTTGGACGCCGGCTGCGATGGCATACCCATGACGGAAAACGGTCACTATGCGAAACGGCGATCAAAGTCAAAGATGGATAGATTGAAGATGCAGAGCGACGGGGTTAGGAACATGCAAGACCAAGGTAGTTTGCGCCAAAAACTTTGCTATGACTAAATCCCGCGCCTTTCTCATTGCATCGCTAGCGCTGCGCGGAGAAATTGACGGCTGCTGTCAGTTTCCTTTGCAATTGGTTCTGGCCGGCTCTCTCCGCGCCCACAGACGTGGGGGGGCTCATGGGGTGATGGGCAAGTGCGCATAGAGCATGTATTAGGGCTACTTGAAGTCGATACGAGCTACACAAGCTAGGAAGTATCATCTGCGCAAAGACAGCAAAGGAGTCTGGCGCATTCTCGGATTACTCGTCATATTCTCCCATTGCTTTAAATCGAGTAAGAAACAGTTTCCCAAACGCCTCGTCGCTCCGTAACGCAGAAAATGCGGCAAACCAAAATGAGGACATTATCCATTATTGCTTCAGATTGCCCGTTTGAATTTGTCTGTAGCAAAACATGGTATTCGTCGATGATTACTGGCCGGCAAGACCTGCTCAGACACGTCTACCACGCATGTCTGTCCCAGTTTGGGTCTGCCAGGTGTCAGTCGTCGCTCTTATCACACATGTGCTATTGAACTCACCCTGCACAAATGCCGCAAGCACCTTGCTGCCAGTCTGCAATAGTGGGTGGCCAACTACTATTTGCAGAAACCGTTGGAGTCCCTCCCGCCGGTGCTCAATCACGTCGTCCGAGAAGCGGTTGGTAAGGACCTTGCCCGGCAGAGGTGGTATGGTGACGCGCGCCGACTCTCGCTCAAGAATATCACGGAAGGCTTCAAATTCGCTGTATCGGCGGCGGACTGTCGACGACTTGAGCTTGAAGGCGGGAATGTTGGTGCGCATTACAATTTCGTAGGTTGTGTACATGCCACGGCCGACTCCTAAAGTTCTGTCAGCATGCACACTCTTACAATATCTACGCGCCTAGACTTACCGTGCGTCATGGGATTCCTAACCTGTGCACGCGACAAATGTGAGCGAGGCTGCAATCACACAAGGGTATGGAAGCTCCAGATCAGCCTACCTCAATCTCCAGGAAGTTTTCGGGAGGGCCGTATAGCTCCTCAAAGCTCTGCGATCGCGCGTCGGGTAGCGACTGCATTTTGGGCGTAGATGTGGATGTGAATGTGGAATTAGGACGAAGGTTGGTTGCGCAAGAGCTGGAGATCGATGGCGGGGCTATCGCGAACTAATGGCCCGGCGCACTGGTTGCTCTTGGTCTGGCGAGCTGTTGGCAATGCACGTGCATGCAACCGCCCTGCATGAACATCAGCCAAACCTGCCACATAGTGGGTGATGCAATCCAAGTCAGCTCCGGTGGCTTGAATAGACCTATCGAGTTCATATTCACTCTACTTGTTGTTGCGGAACTTGCTATAGGCATGTCAGTTGTTCTTGTTTGTACATATAATCTTATATAGTAGCAAACCATTACCATAAACCATTGCTATGTAGGTTCATCACTCATTGACGCAATTTTGCCATAGGAAAAATAATAAACGGTGAAACAATCTTTGCTTGACTTCGGATTTCGTAATACAGCAGTCTAGAAGAGCACTCCAAAAAAAGTGAAATGTAATAATACACTGGCAACATGATGTGACATCATCCGATCTCTAATCGCCATCCCTTGTCACAACATGCCTAGCATGAACCCCGGCCATGTCAGCGAGGTCCAATGACGATAACACTGAGCAGACTGATCAAGGACAAAGGTGCAAAGTCTTGAAGAAACAGTGCAAATGCATTGAAGAACCAGACAAAACAAAACTACATACTGTGGGCGCATGTTCGTGACCGCTCACTCTAAGAAGCACAAACTCCCGGTCCATGCCATGATATCCGTCCTGTACCCGCTTTTGACCAGTCGTCAATCATAACGAGCGTAGAAACAAAACGAACGCCTAGCTTTTTCCCATCCTCCTCTACTGGCGATCCCTCAAGTGACGAGGTACGTACTTACCAGTGGATGCGGCTGGAGCCTGAGCAGCAGGCCTCGACTCACGCTCACCTTCGCCCTCACGGGCTGGCGCATCACGGCGAGCGCCAGGGGGGACGTAACCACCAGTGGTGGCAGGAGAGGCCTTCCTGTCTCCCCATCGGTCTCCGCCGCGAGAAGCTTCAAATCGGCCGCTACCACTGGCATTGCCACTACCACCGGCATTGCCACTACCACTACCGCTACCGCTTGCCTCACGCTCGCGCCATCCGCCACCTGGAGCACCACCTTGACGCAGCGCCGGTGGGACATATCCACCCCTCTTGGGCGCTTCCGCCTCGGGGGCGGGAGAAGCTGCTGCTGCAGGTGCAGGGGATGTGCTGGCAGCAGGAGGTCCTTGACCAGCGGCCTTCATGGCCTCACGCTCACGCCAGCTGGGCTTGCCGCCAGGAAGTTGGATCTTTGGTGGACCACTGGAAGAAGGAGCGTCGGCAGCCGGCTCGCGAGAGAAGGTCCGGCCAGAACCAGCGCCAGCGGCAGCTCTTCGCTTGGCCATGGCCTCTTCCTCACGCTGTGCCTGAAGGCGAGCCTTCTCAGCAAGAGCACTGCGACATGTTAGTATGTGATCGTGAGAAGGACATGGTAATACTGACTTTCGCTCTTCATCTCTCTTCGCCTTCTCTTCGGCCAACCGTGCGCGCTTCTCCTCATCAGCCTTGGCCTTGGCCTCGGCTTCGGCCCTCTCACGCTCCTCTTCTTCGCGCTGGCGGCGTTCAGCCTCTTCGCGCTCCCTCTTCTCCCTAGCAATGCGTTCCTTGACCTCCTTGACACGTGCGGCCTTCTTGCTTTCAAGCTCCTTCTGTGCGATCTTCTGGCGCTTTTCAAACTCGGCCTTGCGCTGCTGCTTGACAGTAGCAACGAATTGCTGGTAAGGGGATACCAATCTTGACAGACGGTGCTTGAGCGCAACGTCTTCCTTGTGCTTTTCTTCGGCCTCCCTGAGCTCTTCGGCCTTTGCCTTCTCGTAAGCTGCGAGATCCTCATCTTGTTGCTTTTCGTAATCAGTCTTGAGGTGCTTGATCTCCTCCTTACGGTAAGCGCGCTCCAAGTGATCGATACGCTTGCCGGCAATGCGGAGCTGTTCGCCAAGCTGGTTCTTCTCCCTCTCAAGAGCCTGCAGCTTGAGGATACGGATCCTCTGGGAATCAAGATCATCGAGATCTTCTGGAAGCTCAATGTCAACCTTTGTGGTAGCCTTGAGTTCCTTGATCTGCTTCTCCATTTCCTCACGTTGAATGCGCTTCTGCTCAGCCTTGATGCGCTGCTCAGCACGTTGCTTCTGCTCCTCGGCAAGGCGGCGAGCTTCCTCATCCTTGAGCTGTTGCTGGCGAATGAGCCTCTTTGTTTGTTCTTCGTTCTCCTTGGCTTGCTGGGCCTTGAGGGCAGCTTCCTTCTTCTGCGAGATGATGTCGCGACGGCTGAGAATCTCTTGGTGTTCCTTCTCAGCGCCTTCCTTTGCACGGGCAAGCGCAGCCTCCTTTGCGCGCAGACGATCTCCGTTGAACGAAGGGTCGACATATTGGCAGGTCACGAACAGGGACTTGGCAAGACGGGTAAGCTGAGAGCGCACAATCTCAGCAGGGGTGCTCTGTAGACGCTGCACGGAGCGAGATTCCGTCTCGGCTGATCCCGCACCAGAACCAGGGTGCATGGCCTTTGCTGACGAGAAGACGTCGGAATCGAAAGTGAGGACCCCGGTAGCGTGGTCAGTGCGGATAGCGAGATCGCCCTTCTTGCAGCCGTTCATGATGAACTTTTCAATGGTACCAGCACTGACATGGAAGGGCTCGGGGAACTGGGCGAGGCCAAGCACAAACTTGATCTCGACAGAGTCGTATACTTGAGACAACTGCTGGAAGAGACGGGTGAGGATGACCTGCTGGAGCGGGCCAACATACTTTTGCATGCCCTCGTCAGCACCGATCTGAGACAGGATCGGTGAGATCTTCTTGCAAATGGAGAGAGGGTGGAAGTCGACCTCGAGGATGTTGTAGAGATCGCGAATCTCGGGACGCACGCGCTTGAGAAGACCCTTGCTGAGAGCATCCTTGAACAAGATAGCACGAGTAGGAGCCTGTGACATGCCGAGCAAGTTGGTAAGACGGGAGTTCTTGTTCTTCCTGGCCTCGTCAACGTCGACAAGGGCGCCACGGGAGCGCGAGGTGCTGATGACGGGAATGGCAAGGGCTGATAGCAAGACAAACGAGGCAGCCTTGGTCATGTCGGCTTCCGTGACGGCTGGGTTGTCCTTCTTGGGGCTCTGTCCAGAGGCAACAGCAGCTGCAGACTGTCGGAGGAGGTTGTAGTAGCGGCTGTATGCAGCAGCGTGGAAGAGATAGTTCTCGCTGACGAGGAAGATGCGGGTCAGCTTCTCAAAGTAGTTGGCCATCATGATGTTCTTGGCTGGTCGCTTGCTCAAGCTGAGGAGCGTGTGGATGTCCTCGACGCTGCGGAAGGCCTCTTGCCAGAGCTCAAGCTCGACAGCCACATTGAGTTGCTGGAAGCGGGTGTCGAGGTGGCGCTGCAGAGTGTCGGGGTCGGACAGGTTGATGGCGTGCATCTGGGAGGAGAACTTTGCGGCATTCTGGAGATGGTTGCGGAGCAGCTCGCAGAGACGGCGGAACTCGGTCTTGCGGGCATACTTGGAGCAGAACTGGAAGGCCTGGTGGGCAGTCGACTGGTACATGAGTTCCAGACGGGCATTGTTCTTGAAGATGTCGAGGACAGTGCGGTATGTCTCCCACAGGAACTTGAGCCATGGCGTGACAATGGCACGGTCGGTGCGGTCGCGCGACTGCTCGCCGGAGACGGTGGACAGAAGGATGGACTCTGGCGTCTCGGTGGCCTCGAGGTCGTCGACGTTCTTGTCGTCAGAGGGCTCGAGCGAGGACTGGACCTCGTCGGCCTTTGCCTGGGCCTCTGTGACTTTTTGCTCGGCAAGCTCAATGAAGCGCTTGAAGACGGTCTCGATTGTGCCGACGTTTGTGTTCTGGGCCGTGTTCTTGTACTGGTACAGGCCGTCCTTTGCGAGTTTGCCCTTGCGCAGATCGACGCAGAGCTCGACGAAGAGGATCATGACGGGCTCGAGCGAGGTGATGGGGCTGTTGCGGGTGCGCTTCGAGGTGACATGTTCGTGGAGCAGCTGGAGGGCAGCCTGGTGCTGGTCGACGCCGATGAGTTCCTGGGCTCGTTTACTGCGTGGTATTAGCTGGGGCAGCCTCTGCAGCGAGTCTGAGGCGGGGCGCACAGAGTGTTCTCCGGCTTGGAGTGGGGTGGAGGCGCCATGCTGGGCAGGTCGATGTCACAGATCCCAGGGCAACGGGCTGTATGGGCTTTTCAGCAAGCAGGCGACGCAGCCGGGAGCGTTGGAGGGTGGGATGGCGGTGCGGGTCTCACAGGCTGCGATGCAAAGTCACCGCTTGCAAAATGGTTGTGGTAGGCTGAGGTAAGCGAGCACCCGCCAGTGATGTGCCGGCACCTCAGCAGGGCCGTCGTCCCCGCACATGCAAGGCGACGCTGCTCAGCGAACGGCTCCGCGCGGCCCTGGCGTGGCGAGGGACTCTATCACACAGACGCGGGGAGCGAGCCCCTTGGACGCAGCGGGCGGACGAGCCATGCGCAGTGCAGTGCATGGGACGGACGCGATGCAGCGGCCGTTGTTGTTGTTGTTTGTTGTGTTGTTTGGTGGGAGGAGTAGATAATCGGTGCTAGTCCGAATTGCCCGTAGCAGTGCTAGCAAGACGACTACTGCTTGATTAGTGGCGGTGCAGACACAGACAGGCGGGCAAGCGAGGGCGAGGCATCCGAGTCGGCGAGGCGGGACAATGCACCAGGCAGGCCAAGCAGCAAGGGCGGGCAGGGCAGGCAGGCAGGCTCTAGCCCCGTACTCAAACCTAATATGGCGCTATGCCGCAACCGAACAGCGCCCGACGAACAGGCCCATCAAGGGGATGGCCGGCCCATCTTCCAACCACCTCTCCTGGCATCCCGTGCTTCACCTGTCGCCCATCTCTGCACCCTCTTCGTCAACCCTCGACACCGCACTCGCCGTTGCAGTCGCCGTCGCAGCATCTCCAGCATCCACATTGCGCTGATATCTGGCGGCAGGCTCACACCCGGCTGGCCGTCCTCGCTCCTTACCCCCTCCCTTTGTTGCTGTCTCCTGTCTACGCCGTATACGACGACGCCGCACCATCACCCATCGCCATAATACCCACCCGCCACCACCACCACAACAACCAAAACACAAACGACGCTCCATCCCCCATTCTCTTTACAGCTTAATATCCACGCACGCGCGCCATGCCCGCCATGCCAACCATGATGGTCGCCGCACCCTACGAGATACGGACGGGCGGCGACGGCAAGACCAAGAAGCAGAGCATGGCCGAGCTCAAGCTGCGACGTCTCACGGAGCTCAACCAGCGCCTGCGAGAAGACCTGGAACGACGCAGGATACCCGTGTCCGAGGCTGCACTAGAGTAGGTCCACCGGCCGACAAAGCGTCGCGACATTCAGCAAGCACACATGGCAGTAGCTAACAAAGGCGCCGCAGTCTGATTGCCTTCACGGACAAGGAGCCCAAGGACTGGATGGTACCATCACGATGGGGAACGGTAAGTTGACGCGCGCCTTGCGCTTCGTGTTGCACTTTTTTGTCGCAGCCATACTGATGTGTGTGTACGCAGATCGACAAGCGCGACGATCCCTACGCGCCACAGCAGAGCAACGGCTGCTGTGCCGTAATGTAAACAACGATCGAGATGCAGATGGTCATGTCCATTAACGGCGTTTCTGCGGGGTCGGTTTCCACGGCACAGTGTTTTGTTTTCCCATGTTCCGGACAAAGGTCGATAATACCCCCAAAAGACGCAACGTGTTTGCGCAGTTAGTCGTGGGAAGCGGGACAGTCGGACGGGTCTCTCATGTTCATTTCACCCCAATGTGTACATTAAACTCTGATGCGGAGCGAGCCGCTGGCTGCTAGCTGGAGCGTGCAGCGCAGCGGACGGTCTCTTCCGTTTTCTTTTTTTTCAGTCGGCCATGCCGGCGTGCTTAGGGGGCTATCTTTTTTTTATTTTTCTTCAATCACGAGATGAAAGCGCTCGCGTAATTACCCTTGGCCAGGTGTTTCGTCTAGTTTGTAACGAAATGCAATTGCAATTGCCCAATTGTTTGTCCACCGAACCGCATTGTTGCCAGTGTGCCGCGCCAGAGAGGCCCAAAGCGGCAGGTCCAATGGGGCGGCCATAGCCGAGGAGATTAACAAGGCGCGCCTGGCTCGACTAGTAGCAGCTTGCTCAAGCTCACCATCAGCGCTGCAGCAAGCCCTGGGGACTGCGCGCCCCGGCCCCAACATGCAAAAGACAAACAATTGGATATGGTTGGATATGCGGAAAACAAAAAGCACACGTGCATGCTCCAGCAGCCAACTGTGCTGTGATGATCCCGGTGCGCACACAGTGCCAGTAGAAAGCCGTGATTTTCTTTGGGGGGAAGGAAGGAAAAGAGGCGCACAGAGCGTCCATACAGTAGGCGTGGAGGAGAATGGCAGCGGGGGGGCAGCCTATTGGTCGAGTAATGCCGCACGTTGCAGTCAGCAGCGCTCTGTCAATGGCCGACGAGCAGTGCGAGCAGCAGCAGCAGCAGCAGTCTTGTCCATGTGTGGTTGCCCTCTGCGATGTAAGTAGTAGATTATTATTATTAACATGGCCGTCTTGCATCTATAATTATCGGTGCATGATCTGGCAGCTGCATTCCCGGCGGCCAGGGCGAGTCATTTGTGGCAGCCATCCCATCTGCACACCCTCTTCCTTCACCCTCACCACCGGTGTGCGTCCATGGACTCGAATCCACTGCCAGGGCCCGACGTCAGGTGCGCTGTGTCTCTGCTGCCCGCGCCCTCGCTGGCGGCACATGGAGCCAACTATAGGCTGAGGAGGCCGACCCAGGTTCTGGCTGCCCGCCTGCAGCAGCTGGTCATGACCCGCGCCCAAGTCCCAAGTCAACATGCGTGGGCGGCATATGCCCCCCATTCTTATCAAATTCCCGTGGGGGCCCTCGTCCACCCGGCCTCTTGTCGTGCAGCCTTTCCAGCTTTGACAGGTAGGCCGATTCTCCATCGCTGTTCCTGAGCTTGCTCCTGTTCCTGACCGCGACCTGTACTATCTGCGCTTGCGCCTGCCCGCGCCTGTGCCTGCGAAAGAAAAGAGGACGCCTCTCCGTCCTAGCCACGGGTGTCGACACATGTGAACAAGACGCAATCATCCCGGTCCCAATTCCGCCCCAGCCCCACCCACCTGTCTTCGCGACCGCCAAATTTCTCCCTGGTCTCTACTTCCACGGCGACGACATGAACAATTCGGCTGCGCAGTCCTGGACTGCTGCAGACCACTTCGCCATGGACACGTCTCAGGACAACTTTGCCGGTGCAGAGTTCATCGACTTTGACAATCTCGACCTCGACTTTAACATGGACGGGTACAACAGTCAGGGACCCGCCTCAACTGGGAGCCAACTCGCCGATCTGACCGATTCACTCAACGTCCACCACCTGCAAAACCAGTTTCCCCCACAACTCGCCCCAGATTATCACAATGGCGCAAACGCCGCCCAGAAAGCCCACAGTATCCCCCCTCATGGCCTCTCCCAGCAGCCTGCAAACAACTTCTTCGACTATGGCGTGCCCCAGCACACGGCCCAAGGCTACCCTCAGACTCACAGCCAACTCTATCGTCCACACCAGGGTGTGCCCCCCACACCCAACAGCACAGAAATCCATGGCGACCCCAACCGCTATCTCCAGCAAGTCGAATCACAGCAAGCCCTCTTCGACCAGAGGTACCACATGCGCAAAGACGATGCCGTACGTTTGGAATTGAAACAAAAAACCCCCCACCTTTGAGCCTCGCCCACTGACTCTATACAGACATTTACCCCTCTTGTATCGCCTGCAGTCACGCCCCATGACACGCGCTTCCAAATTCCAGACTTTGCTATGGCTGGCTCCTACTTCAGCCCTCTCACCTCGCCCGCATTGACTGCTCAGAGCCAACAACATGCACATCAACCACCTCAGAACACTGCTTCCGAGAGCTCTACAGGTCATTCGCCCATTGATCTCGACATGGACATGCTGGGTGAGCCTGCAATTGTATCACAAGAACAGGGAAGAAGGAACACAAGAGCCGCAAACAGAAGAAGTGCACCGCGTGCCAGTGGAAACGCCCGTGTACGGCAGTCTCCCATTGTAAAACCCAACAGGCGGAAATCCAACGGGTCCTCGCTTGTTCTACCAAAAGACGTCACTGACCTCGTGCAAGATGCGCGCTCCCGACATCCACTTTCCGCTAGTCTGGATGCGCCTCGCACCCGTGAAAGCTCAGAGACCGACTCCATCTCTCCTGAACCCATGCTCTCAGAAATGCGACCCCCGCCCAAGCCTGGCTCTTCAACAGCTTCACCCGCTGTCATGGCTCAACGCAGCAGCCAGAGTAGCACTCCAGCCACCCCGGCCTCTCTCATGCGCATACAGCCATCGCCTGATTTCAACGGTTCCGAGCAAGCACTGCCATTGCTAGAGGATCTCACCCTACCGGAGGCATCTCTCGACAGGCCGAGCTTGTCAAGGTCAGACACGGCAATTCGGGACGATGATAGCGGTACACCTCGCTTGTCTGCGCGAAAGACGCCCAAACTGAACCCCTTGAGTACGCCTGGGGCAGCCATGTCAGGCCGGCCCAGCCCCATGCTTGACGCCATGTCCACTCCCACAAGTCCAGCTTTCTCAATGACAAGCAGTAAGAGAGATGCAAAGCTATCACGCAACCCCAAGAAGAGAAACAGTGTCAGCTCCCATCTTGTCAGCCCTGCATTGATGCCTAAGATTTCGCCCAGCATAAAACCTTTGCTACCAGACGGCGGCAGTGGTAAGTGCATTGCTAACATTGATAGTAGACTTTAATCTGACTATGCCTAGGCACCACTGACAACACTCATGCTCTTCTACTTGCATCCAAGTCAAACTATCAGAACATTCTCGACGGCACAACGGTCCCCGGTGTAGTCTATCCCACGTCCCTATCAACGAACCTCACTTCCAAACGTACCTCGCACAAGATTGCGGAGCAAGGCCGCAGAAACCGTATCAACACAGCTCTGCAGGAAATGCAAGCTCTTCTTCCCTCGCCACGATTCGGCAACGTTTCCGACGCCAAGAGCCCAGAGACAAACGCACAAAACTCCAACAACTCAAAGGCAGCAAAGGTCGAAAGTGCAATCGAGTACATCAAGCAGCTTAAGCAGGAGGTTTCGGAGCGGGATGAGCTAATTAGCAAAAAGGACAGTGAGATGGATGCGCTGAAGAAAGAGTTGGCTGCACTCAAGAGATGTCAATCTGAAGGTTCAGTACCGGAGACAACAACCCAACCAAAGGCCGAAGCTTCCCTCAGCCCAAACACTGAGAGTGAACGATGATGAGATGTGAGATGATTTTATGCTCAACTCTTACACTTGGTAATTACTCTATTTGGAAACACTCATGGCACAAGTCCGGTTTGGAATTCGCCCCGCCACGACACGATCGCCACTCAGCTCTGCTTTTTAGCGAAAGGTGAGAATGTACATGATACCGGCCCGTCTGACAGGTCAAACTTTTTTCGGGCCGGAGCCACCGTTACATGAGTATTGGCGCAAAACTATATGCATGCAGTAGTAGCCAATCAATGGAACTGGAACTGGAACTGGAACTATCTTGGCAGACAATGTCAGGATACACGATAATGCACATATACCCAGCAAACGCGCATATTTGCTTCAACATATCTCCATGCTATTGATGGATGCAGCAAGAAACACGATAATTTTTACCCACGGCCTTTTGTTTGATGATGAAAAGATTTGAGAGATAGAGAGAAAGATTGCGTTGGTATCAAATCAGCGTCAGACCTCATTTTTCATCTGCTATAAGAAAAGACATGTTTATCCTGTAGACGAGAGAACATGGCAGGCCTATCCATATTTATTTTATTTTCTTTGCTGAGCATCGAAAGTCAGAGAGACAGAGAGAGTAGTTGTATGCGCAAATCTTGATATCAATGCACACATAATTCACTTGACACTACTCTTGCTTATGACTTTACCTACGTGATCTGCCATTCATTTCTGACACAATAAATCTGACACGCTATACTCCAAATAACTACGAACAATTAAAATCATGACTTACTTACTTCTACTATCGCCTTGTCTGTATAGCTAATTTTCGAAATAAACACCCACAACTGATTCCGGGGAATATCAGTCTTACTACTTACCTCGTGATTTTCGTTCATCAATCAAAACAAAACAAAACAAAACAAAAAATTAGACGAGAGAATTCAACGAGAAGAACACCACACGATATACACACAAGGTAAAGAGGTTATGACGACCGGAATTTTTTTTTTTAAAACTGATAACCCCCTCCCCCGAAATCAGACTTTTTGCACCAACTCCACCGAGGAATAATAATAATGATAATAATAATAATAATAATAATGGACGACAGAAAATAATAACGCCGTGAGGATGGAAAAATCAAAATATCAAAATAACAACGAACACGATATCATTACTCAAGTTACGATGATTATGTGAAGAAAAAAAAGATAAGACAACTGAACTCGATTTTGAGAAAAAAAAACATGGTATCTACACAAGGGTAAAAGGCAGTAAGAATAAGAGTTATTGATAATCATACTTTGCTCCAACGCACAAAATAATGATAACAATAATAATAACGCCGTAACAAGAAATCAACATGACAACACATAACTACATCACTCAATCAATCATTCACTCATTTTGCATACGGTTCAAAACAAGCTTATAAGGAAACCATACATTTGTAAAGCAACGCAAACTAATAACAAAAACAGAAAGCACCGTCCACACATCCATCCACCCGTCCCCTTTCCCGTCTCCGAGCACAATGGTAGCAAGCTAGTGGTGTCTCTCCCTTCTTCCCCTTTCACCACCGGAAGCTGTCTTCTCAATGAAGTACAGCCACTCCACACCCCTAGCCTGCCCATCCATTGCGTCCCTTCGAGTCTGCCAGCCAAGCTTCACTCCCCATACATTCTTGTGATACAATTTAACTTCGTCCCCTTGTTCAAGCTTTACCTCCCCACAAGCTGGCAGCCAAATCCGAAGGGGGGAAACTCAAGGAAAATTTGCTGAAAAAAACCATACAAAGGACAAGGGGGCAGGGGGTAATTAATGTGGGGTGAAATCAAACAAAAACACGCGCAATCAGTCGGAGAGCTGCCCAGTGACGCAAAGCTTCGCAAGACGTTTCGCAAGAACCATTGGCTCCAATTGGCCAAGGATCGTTGAAACATGTCGTCTGCGAGCTGAAGTACTGTAGCAATTTGAGATAACGTGTGGGTCGAGCTTCCAGAGATACGAGATAGTCGGACAGGACACCGTGACCATAGTAAGTATGAGACATCAAGTGCCTCCCTCTAGGTCTGTACCAGATGCCTGCCGACTAAATCCCATGGACTGATCAATAAGCGACGCCGTCCAAAATATTGCCAGGACGGCGGTGCCGCATTTCCCATTCGTAGTGCGTGCGAAGCCAAATTCAAATAGGCGGACCCGCAAGAGTTGAGATGACGAATCGAAAGCCGCATCAAGAATCAGTAACCGGATGCATACTGGTCCCCGCCACGCTTATTGGCTGAACGAAGCTGCCTGAAAAAAAGAACAAGGTTAGTAAGGTCTGCATCTGACATCCCCCGCGCTAAGCGTTATCACACCAAACGCAAAGGAGAGGGTCCCTTACGAGGATCAGATATATCGAACTCACATTCCGGTGCCCTCCTGGCGTGCGTTGACCGGTCCGCGCTTGGTGCCAGCAGCGGTGCCGGCGTTTGCAGCAGCCGTGGTTGTGACGTGGCGTCCGCGACCCTTGTCGTCTTCATCGCCCTGGCCCTGGTTGGCAGCTTGGGCGATGGCTTGGGCGTTCTTCTGGTACTTGTAGACGGTCCAGTCAAAGACGTAGTCGTACTGGAAGCCCTCACGAACAAAGAGATCGCGGAAGATCTTGCGGAGGTACGAGTAGTCCGGCTTGTCATCAAAACGCAGAGAGCGCGTGTAGTTGAGGTAGATGGCAAACTCGTTGGGGAAGCCACGGCACAGGACTTCGGTAGGAGTGGTCATCTTCTTCTCCATGATGCGGTCATATTTCTGCTTCTTGGTGGCCGCCTTAAGACCCTGCCAGGGAAGGGAGCCACGGCAGAAGTAGAGCATGACATAGCCAAGGGACTCCATGTCGTCACGGCGGGATTGTTCTACGAATGTTAGCTACGAGAAGCAAGGCGGGTAGGGGCGAGAGGGTTTACGTACCGACACCCAAGTGAGTGTTGATACTGGCATAACGGGCGGTACCAGTCAAGTTCTTGTTCTCTCTGTAAGGAATGTGGAAGTGGGTCTTGGGGTCGCGGTACTTCTTGGCGAGACCAAAGTCGATGACATTGACCTGGTTGCCACGCTTGCCAATGCCCATGAGGAAGTTGTCGGGCTTGATGTCACGGTGAATGAACGACTTTGCGTGGATGTACTCGATGCGGGAGATGAGCTGGTCGGCAAGAAGCAGGACCGTCTTGAGAGAGAACTTGCGGTTACAGAAGTTGAAGAGATCCTCGAGCGAAGGGCCGAGCAGATCCAAGACCATGGCATTGTAGTCGCACTCGGTTCCGAACCAGCGGACAAAAGGAATGCCTACGCCGCCAGCAAGCGACTTGTAGACACGGGCCTCATACTCAAGCTGGGGGTGCTTGGCCTTGACGCTTTCAAGCTTGATGGCAATCTCCTCGCCGGAGATGATGTTGGTACCTGTACATGTTAGCTCAGCTCAGCTGAGGGGGGTGCGGCTTGGTACACACCAAGGTAGATGTCACCGAAACTGCCACTACCAATTTTGCGGCCGATTCTGTACTTGTTGCCGACGCGGAGGTCCTACTGGGGGGTCAGCCTGGTGCTTTGCAGAGATGCACTTGTCGGGACATGGTGATGATGATGGTGATGGCGATGACAAGAAGCAGTGGGGGGAGCATACCATTGTCGTCATGGTGGGAGGATGTTCAACCTTGAGGAGGTTGGCCCGGTGGTGAGGGTGAAGTGGTGGGTGGGCCGAGGGTGTCGACGATGGGACGTGGGTGTGTTTTGAGGATCAGCCTGCTGTGGACGGACCGGTCAGTATGAGGCTTTTGCCTACAAAGGCGGTGAGTAAGCGGGGAGCGGGCAGCCGAGAAACGCTAGAGGATGCAGTCGAACGCGTCGATAAGGGGAGGGCAAGGACTAAAAGGCTGGCGGGTTTTGGGGGGAGCAGGTGATGAGGGAAGCGTGGGTTGTGTGGTGAGGGAGTAGAGGCACGCAGGGTTGAGGGCGGCGCCGGGCTGGCGAGCTGGCGAGCTGGGCAGGACTTACGATAGGGCGTGCAGTGAGCCCAACGGAAAACGACCGCGAGGCGGCTGTGTGGAGGGCGATGAGGCTGTGTATGTGTGGGAGTGTGGGAGGGTTGTAGTGTAGCAGGTGAAGGAGAGGGAGGGAGTGCAGGCGGTGGGATGCACAGGCGGCAAGCAAGTGCAGGCTAGAGAAGAGCAGAGAAGCCTGGCAGAACAAGCACACAGCGGCGGGAGGAGGTGCTGTGAGGACGCAGATGGAGAGGATGCAGAAGGCGCACCCGCCGCACCTGCTGGTCTGGCATCGGCTGCGGCTTGCGGCTGGGCGCCCAATCACGTGGGGCGCTAGGTGGCGACGCCTTCACTGCGGGTGCGGCGGCGGTGTATCAAGCGCCGTTCTACCCATTCCCTACCCGACTCGCGCCCCATGCTGCCTCTGCCTACATCGCTACCCAAACCGGCTGCTTGCTTCTGCTCCTCGCCCACGGCCTCCCCCCCAGGGTGGCTCCATGCAGCTGGCACGCTGCGTTTCAAATGCCGCAAACTGATGCGAGCCATGTGCGATTGACAAACCCGCCCTCCGCCTCCCACACCCCCTAATGCGTCATGTTGGTCCAAACCATGGCGCCATCATGATTTTCCCTACTCATCGCATGCAGCCGCCACCCCCTACTACCTACGTAGTCGGCAAAAATACTTCCTGCCCGATGTTACTACCTATCAAGTAGTACATATTCTAGAAGTTCGACGGCCCGACTGAGCCTCGCTCGCTTCCCACGGCTACAGCCCACCCAAGCCATCCATGGACGTCTACCCTCTTACAAACGTCAGCGCTCCACAGCTACGCCCTATACCACACCATACTTGCTTTCACCCTCATGTACCTCAGCCCTGGGGGTCAGGGCGCATGTGTACCTACATACGTGTGCTGTACTCTACCGCTTGATTCTTCGGCGCCATTTTGTGCTTTGACCAGCCCTCTTCGTACCCCGACACCTCTATCGGCGAGGTGCATTTGCCCTTACAACCAAGGAAAAATACTCTTTACAGAGATTGTCGCCTGCCTGGCCTCTCATCGCACTGGACAGCATAACAAAATCTTTGACGTACCCCCATGTTTGCCAGACAAGTTCTACACAGCAATCCATGGCATCACGCGTACCTTGCATGGTAACCGATGCTGCCCAAGTGCTTGGACCTCTACTAGCACAAACGCATGCAATGCCATCTCATTGTTGCCCCAGCAATCGCCCTCGCATCAATCCACGCCTCTGACCATGCGCACTAGATCAAGTAATAATCCTTATTTCATTTTAGTAGCATGGTCTGGCCAATCGTCGTAAATCATGTGATGGTCTGCACACCAGAATGACATCTTCGAGACTTTGAGCACAACATGCTTTTCTTTGACGGAATCTGACATATTCTGAGCACACTAGAATCTATAGTCTGGGCAGAAAAGGCCTCTAGCTGTTGGTGTGACCAGGATTGATTTGGCAAAATCTATATGGCCGTCTCAGTGCGACATTTCCATCCTTTTCCCATTTCTGCGGTTATTGTACACTGCATCTGATAACATCCATATGCTCAAACCCCGCTTTCCACGTCATGCAATTTGAAGCTTAGTGGTTCGCTGACTGGTTCTTGACGGCGGGGTTTCGCGGGTCGTTCTTGTACTCGTCGGCTGGCTTGTGTCAGTTTGCGAACTTGAAAACTGGTCGGCCAATTCAGCCACCAATAGATAGACTACGCACCCTGGGACATGGCGTTTGCGGCAGAGTTGACACCGTAGAGGATGACAAGACCTGGTGGGTTCTGTTAGTCCAGCACTCTCCACAGTCATCCCTTCATTCGTTCTTCCGTGCCCTCCAACATCCCCCAAATTCATCTCTTTGCTTCCATAAAACTCCATCACATATGTGCATCGGACTCCGCAACGTACCAGAGACGTAGAAAGGCCACATGGGCTTGGCTGTAATTCCTTGGTTAGCAGTCATTCGAGCTTCACCATTGGCGGTCAGTGCTGTCCACAGAGACGTACCAATTTGCGCCGGGAATTTCCTTCCGAGAAGAGGCATTTTGACGTGTGGTGGAGGGGCAATGGATTGATTGGCGGTTGCGATGAGGATGGGCGGTGGTGGTGTTGAGCTCCGGTCGTTCGGCTTGCAGAACTTCGATATGCTTGGCATCGGCGCGCGTAAAGACCGACCCGTAAACACCATGTACACCAAGGGCGCAACAACCCCGCGACAGACGGCTCTGCCAGCGACCTGGGACCCTACACTTTTACACTACTAAAGAAACGGTCGCAGTCATGGGCTCTCCATTAGAAGGATGTGTGGCCTCGCTACGCAATAGTATGCAACTACTGGATTCATCCATCAACATATTGGACGACGGCGTCAGCGACCTTCCTCGGCTGGCAAAAGTGCTGCAAACAACACGAGTACGTAAACTATACTCCGGAACCTTGCTGGGGCCTCCATGAGACTAACATGTTCCAAAGCACTTTGAACTCATTTCCGAGTCGGACCTTCAAACGGCGCAAGCAGGACTCCTCTCAGAAATACGCCCAGAAATTGACAATCTTCTCAAGCGTGTAGAGAACTACGTGGACAAACTCGAGCGTCGCGAACAAGCTCTTATAGCCAAATGTGACCTGAATGACGGACGACTTGGACGAGACAGCAATGGCGGTTCAGGATCCAGGCCAGCGAGCAGGAGTACGCAGAGAAATGGAGGCAAGGCTATAAGTGCGCAACAAGAGTTACGGTTCAAGGCATTAAGAGCAAAGAAAGACAGACTCAGTTATGCAGTAGAGACGCTCGAGCTTCAGGCGAAGCAACGAGAGAGGCAGCTGAGGATGAGTATGGCAGCGCCACAGCAACTATATGATGACTGAGCCCATCTGGACTCTTTCATATCATGCTGAGTGGATGGTCATGTAGCATGCGGATGCAAGGGAATAGCATCATTGTGTTGGGATGGGCGTTTTGCAATTGAGATACCCCTGGCGTATATATATGGCATACAATCCAAATGTCGTCGTCTGAGACCCTTGACAAAACCATATCAACGATATTTCTTTATGAAGGCTAGCCTTTGTTGCTGATGTCTTATGCAACTTGAAATGGCGGGGAGCATACATACAGCCAGTGATAATGCGCTAGCCTTTTTGACGGTGCATCATCGGCTAATTCCGAGAAGCGCAGAACTCGGCTTCGCAGAAACACCACCAGCTCCGGTAGACCAGCCATTGCATCTTCCCCACAACTCCGTCCATCATGAGCGCCCTCCGTATCGCCAGAGCCGCCCTCCGCGCAAGGCCCGCTGCCATCGCCCGCCCCATCCAGCGAAGAGGCTACGCCGAGGTCGCCAACGACAAGATCAAGCTCTCTCTAGCTCTCCCGCATCAGGTACGCACCACCACCGCCCATGCGTCATTGCAAATGTGCCGGTGAATCCATGTACACTCGAGAAACAAGGGCTGACAATTGGTTTTCAGTCCATCTACAAGTCCCAGGATGTGTACGTTCCGCAAATCCCGACCGATACCGCAAAACGATTACGCGATTACTGACTTGGGTCTCCGTGCAGTGTCCAGGTCAACCTCCCCGCAGAGACTGGTGAGATGGGTGTTTTGGCCAACCACGTTGCCTCTATCGAGCAGCTGAAGCCCGGTCTGGTTGAGATTATCGAGGAGCAGGGCGGCAACAAGCAGTTCTTCCTCTCTGGCGGTTTCGCCGTTGTCCAGCCCAACTCTGTTCTCAGCATCAACGCCGTCGAAGGCTACGCTCTCGAGGACTTCAGCGCCGAGGTATGGATGAATATACAAAAAAGACTAGCGAATTGCGGCTGATGTGAAAGTAGGCCGTCAGGAACCAGATCGCAGAGGCACAGAAGATTGCTAGCGGAAACGGCAGCGAGGCTGATATTGCCGAGGCCAAGATTGAGCTCGAGGTATGTTTTTAGATGTATGGCTGAAGAGAAGTTACTGACATGTTCAAGGTTCTCGAGAGCCTGCAGGCTGCGCTCAAGTAAATGTGTAAACAGCGGCCCTAGAGCACGGCATGGGTGGTATGTATAGTAACTGGCGCTGCGTGCTTTTCACGCGCAAAGGATAGAAGGAGCTTCAACGAAACAACCACAACATTCCAACGTTTTGCACTTTTGTTCTTGATTCATATTACTCCAGTGCCTGCTTATGTGAACTTCCATTTACAGCCATATATGGCACATTTTCTTGCTCAGCACTCATTAACCTATCCTATCACATCTCCCCTACCTTGATGAATCTCTACCATGGCAATCTAAATTGTCTAAATGATACTACTCACTAGTTAGTAAATTGATACGCAACATCTAGTAACTTTACATGTTCTAAAGTGTTTGATCATCCCACTTTGGAGCGTTGCATGCTATGCGATCAATACATGACTATGCAAGCAAGTGCCCTTTTTTTCCAACTGATTGGAAGAATAGTCCATCTCAATCTCCTCGGCCAAACAACCAAGTCAGCATAGCCCAAGCCCAAGCCCAAGTCACTATGACAAGCTACCCCATAAACCCCACCCACCGTTGTTGTTGTCGATTTCCGGTAAACCCCCCCAAAAAAACACCCCTCAATATCCACAAATTTCCATTCGAGTCAATCGAACATTCTTTATCCCCAAGCAATCAGAAACACCGTTGAACGCTTCCACAACCCTGCCAAATATCTCTCACCTTCATCCCTTTCATCCCCTAGGAAACCGTACATACATTACCTCCACTGAACAAAGGTATCACCAAGATACTATCACCCCCCTACCCCTACCCCCGCTCGCCCGAGCCCCACGGAAGATACCTAGTGCTGGCTACCCATGTACCTATTGTGATGATCAGAGTTACGACACCTTGACGTGGAAGTTTGTGAGTGGGAAAGCAGAGATAAGTTTGGAGGTTCGATAAGAGGAAAAATGGTAAAGAGATGTGTTTGGGGGGTTAGGTTTAAGGTGGCTGGACTTGGTGGGTTTGGATGATTTTTCTTGTAGGATTGTAAAGTGAGAAGGAGGGGTAGAGGAAAGCAAGGATCAGGGTGACTGGAGAGTGTCTGTTTAGAATCGCCTTTGAGTTGCAATACTGGAGTTTGGATGTTTACTCGACAAGCGTGGATTCTGACATACATCATTCCACTCAACGGTACAGAGCAACGGATACAATGCCAGATAACTACTCGGCTTATAAATGAAATACTACTCGGCTCATGAGCATGGAAATCATAATGGTTTCAGGGGCATCATTCACATTGGTCAAAAAATATTTACACAAGACAACCACAATCTATCTCGCATCCATACCCTGCAGGCCCATGGCCTCCTTTGCGGCATCCACCTTCTCCGCCTCGCCCTTCTCCCTCAGTGCCACCTTTTCCACCTCATCGAACGACTTGAGCGCCTCGCCGTACTGCTCAAACACACCCTTCCTGTAGCCCTCGCAAATCTTCTTGACAAAGCCTTCCTCGTTCCACCTCGCCTCAAGGAAGTCTTCAAACTTCTCCGTCGGCGATGATCGCTGCACACCCCACGCGGCTTTGTAGGCGGCACCGAGGGCACAGGCGTTACCTCCGATCTCGAGCTTGTAGACACCGTCGGAGCCGCCGAGAACCTGACCGGCGAGTTCGGCGATGGCGGGGTTCACGGCGCCGCCGCCGACCATGTAGATGCGGCGGGGTTGAGCAGGGAGGTTACCTTGTGGGGAAACGAGCGATTGCGAACGGAGACGTAGCGATAGGAATTGTGACTCGAGGATTGCGCGGGCATCAGCCTGGGGGATTGGCCATGTCTTATCTTCTGTTTTGCCTTGGGCGGCTTCTGGGGCTACTGGTGATAGCTGGTTGTCCTTGGCAAGGAAGCGCCATGTGCCTGCCTTTACATTTGGTACAATTTCAGGCCGAGGGAAGAAAAGACCTAGGCGCATGGGGTCGGAAGGCTGTGCCTGGCCTAGAGCAGGCGTGGTGAGAGCCGTCTCGTTGAACTTGTCCCAGGACTTGTCTGACACGCCAGAGGCTTCATTGATTGCATCGCGGATATGCTCACGGGCTAGACCACCGTTCTTGTAGCATAACATGAACATATAGAGTCCAGCAGTTGTGGGGTGGTTCATGAAATGGTACGCAGGATCGGGTCTGTACTGTGGTGTAGACATGAGGAAGGTTGTCGATGTGCCTAGCGATACAATGGCATCCGAAGCACGGAGAGGGAGAGCGAGGATTGTAGACGGGTTGTCGCCTGTGAAAGCAATGACTTGCGCTGATGATGGGAATCCGAAGCGCTTGCTGAAGTATGGTGAGACGGTACCGAAGCTGGAGCCACCATCTTCATAAACCTTGCCCAATTTCTGCTTGAGTTCGTCGAGGCCTCCGCTTCCGCCGGCTGCGAGCGCAACCAAATCCTCATGCCAGCGTCCATTTTTAATGTCCCACAGGTTTGCACCTGTCACATCCGAGATGTCCATCGGGGCCACCTTGCCCAGGAAGATAGATGCGAGGAAGGAGGATACGAGAGAAATACGAGCGGTCTCCTTGTAAGCCTGGGGGTATTTCTCCCTGAAACGGAAGATCTGAGGGCCGCTGAAGCGCTGTTGTAGAGGTTAATGGGAAGTTACAAAGTCGGAACTCAAGATACTTACGTGGTGAGCACTGCTTCCAGTAGCCAAAGCCAAGTTCCTTGGGTCTCCTAGAGTCTTGTCAAAGGCCTCGCACTGCTTTTGCGTGCTCGCATCCTGCCAGTTGGGGCTGAATGGATGGCTGAAAGCACCCTTCCTCTCTCCTTTGGCACCACCCTCCAACTGCTCAATCAATGTCTTTCCAGAATCAAGACTGCCCAGCAGGGTCTCTGCATCATGATTCCAGAAGACAGTACCGTGCTGCATGCCAGCACCAGAGATACCCTGGATCTTTGAAAAGTCGGCACCCTGCTCCTTCAAGCGTTGCAGTACCAGCTCAATGGCTTCAAGCCAAAGAGCAACTGGCGCAAATACTTCGCCCTCATCTGGATTCGTGAGGACACCCTTTTCAATGCCGTACTTGGAAAGGTCTGCGTCAAAGTCGACCTTGGCCTCGTGAATAAGTTTGAGGTCAGACCCGACAATAATTCCTAAAAAGGCGGCGATTGCGTTAACCTAGATGCAAATGCGGTGGTGGGGTAGCTCTCGCGGGGTAAAAAGTAACCCACCTTTGAGCTGCTGGGTGCTCAGGTCGAAGCCCAAAAACTGGTCAGCCATGGTCGGAGTGTGTGGGGTGTGTGTTGAGCTGCAATGGCGGAACTTGTGGTGTTATGACTTCACCGGGCATTGCTAAATTAGCCGTCGAGTCTCGTTGGTGTTGATAAGCCCTCTTCATATCCCGCGGTACATCACACTTACATACCGTTTTGCCGATGTGGGGCTCACCTAGCGCCGACTAGGTGTAGCTCGCAACTTAAGTACTCTATTTCGGCGTTTGTATTGTAGCCGCCCAATAATAAGCTACTGATAGGTAGAATCTGGTATAGATTTTTTGCGTGAAGCAACCAATATCTAGTTTTCTCATTGTAGGTTTAGTAGCGACTCTTCTTTGTCATAATACTGGTACGATCGCTACTGAAACCGTCACAAGCGCAAGCTCTCATTGCTCAGAACCCCTGCTTGGAATCAGTCTAAGCGTTAAGCTTATCTGGGCTACAACACCAAAGCCGACATGGATATACACATGTGGTTGGTAGCATTGACAATATTAGTTATCTTCTGCTTTGTCCTCCCTTGACAGTTGTTTTGACCGAAGACCTGCGATCCGAGTCACCCGAATCGGTTATCTGGGTGTGAAGCCCAGGCCCCTATACGAAGACAACTCGCTTATATGCTTACTTTTCGTATCATCTACTATTCCATGCTTGTTTTAATTTAATAGAACCTAGTATCCGGTTACTCCAATCCATACAGCATGCAATAAAATTCATGTTCTTTTCTTCACTGGTCTACTGACAACACTGGGCCGTGTTCTATCGTCTAATCATACAACACTATTGAAACGCATACAAACACATAGATTTGCCTCCTAATACCTCATTCCCAGTTACATACTGTAAAGGAATCGACACTTACTCGTATACCACCACCCCAGGCCTACAGCTTCCTCACCGCTATCAACCGCCTGAAACACGATCGTATAGCTCACAAATCGCAATTCGTCCTAGCATCAGTCTCGCTTGCGGCTCTTCTATACCTTACATCTCCCCATCTCCCCATCTTCCCGTCGCAGGATATCTATTCCAGGCCCTCGTATCCAGTACAGCCCCTGCTGAACAACCCCAGATAAAAGAGCTGGCTAGATGCCGCCAAGACCACGGAATACAGACGCCAGCAAATCAGCAGCTTGGACAACCAGAACAAACCCAAGGACCATGGCAAGTTGAGCGTAAACCGCTGGTGCTTGTTGCAAAAGGCGTCGTAGATCCTTGCCAACTACCTCACTACCCAGCATCAACAATGCCTGTTCCAAATTCGATACATCACGAGAGTCTCAGCACACCTGGCCAGAAGAGGGGGAGGCAATGAAGAAAGGACCGAGTGATAGATACTGAAGTATATAAAAGGCAAGAAGTGTCTGTCTTGTAAACGATATCGACATCGACCATCTTCACCACCACCACTGGACAACCATCTCTTCAAAACTCAATCTCACCACTCTTCACCACCAAAATGAAATTCTCCCTCTTCCTCAGCGCCATCGCCTTCACCAGCGCCGCCTACGTATGCCCTCCTTCCATCCCTTCCATCCCTTCCCTCCCTCCACGCCAAAAAGAAAAAGAAAAACTAACCATCCCCCAGGGAGCCATCTGCCAATGCGGCGGTCCAGGCACATCCGCAACATCCAGCTACTACACTTCGGAACGCGGGCGCCTCTCCGGAAGTACCTGCACCGTGGCTGGCGACGTGGGCTCAGTGCTAGTTAGCTGGGCCAACTGCTGCAAGGGACAAGGGCTCGGGTGATGGATCGAATTGTAGTTCAGTAAGCAAGACGAGAAAGCAATATCAAGTTTTAATTCCGTAGTTTTTGGAAAGCAAAAAATAAAATAAAAAAATGAATATGGATGCTGTATACGAACTTTGGACGAAGATTTGATTTATTAGTATTGCATGTACTTCGTCAAGGGGCCTCCCTTGAATTGGGTTTCTTTGTTTCCCCTACTATTTCCGCTGTGGATATTTGTGGCCTTTTTTATTTATTTGGCTACGTACTACCCCACTTCTACTATCTGGTACCTTGTAAGGGCCTGTATAGTAATGGTACACCAGTGACAGCGGTGAATACAACTACATTACCAGTACCATGCTCGTAAACCACCCCCCAAAAAAAGAGACCCACAATAAACGGGAGAGCTAAAACAATATTTGCCGGCGGGTGCCTTGCGTGCCTGCAGGACATGCATATTCTCTCCACTGGGGCCGCTATTGGGCGGCGGATAAATTGCAAGGCCGGCCGGCCAGCCATCATCATTCCCCCATTTGCTTACTTTGCTTACATGCTCTCTCTTTTTCAGACGCCGATGGGGGTTAAGCTAAAAAGAGGACAGCTGTTCGCGCGGTAAAACAAAAGTCGTGGTCTAGAACAAATGGGGGACTAGTCACGGGGGGGGGGGGGGAGGGAATGACGGATTTTGGTGGATTCGATACATAGAAGTCTATATACGTCCAAATGCCAAATGGCCTGATATATACCGCCGGGTAGTCTTGGTATGCCCAACTCCAGAACGCCCAGTCATGCTTGTCTAGAAGTGTATCCAACTCATTTCCTTCGCCTCGCACCGTCGGTTGTGTTGTTGTGCTCATGATCATGGCTGTGATCATGTTCATGCGCGTGGTCGTGCTTTGCCTCTGATTCTGAGCCTGGCGATGCAGTGGTGTCGCCTGGTATGAACTCATCCAAGAAATCTGGCTCCTTTGCTGTATTGCTCACGAATCGGACGCGAACCTTTTTCACTCCCCGTACTTGAGCGCCCACCTGTTCTCTGACCTTGTCCTCGACACTACGTGTCTGCTCGACTGTCCATGCGCCAGCTACGCCGAGTTCAATATCCATGAGGTAGTTCTGACCCGCTTTGACACCTTGGATTGCCCGTACGTTTACTGGCTCGGCTGTGGTTGTGATGCCCTCGAGAGCTTTGGTTGCTGCCTTTCGGACATTGTCCTTCATTTCCTGATCTACACCCACATCGGCCAGTTCCAACAGTGCTTGCTTAGTGTTGCCCCAGCCTGCTTGAACAACCATGAGAGAGATGACCAGTCCACCGACGGGGTCAAGCCATTGTGCGTTGTTGAAAACATTTGAGCCGGCAATCAGGAGAAGGGCGACAAAAGCTGTGAGAGAGTCGACGCGGTGGTGGTAAGCATTGGAAGCGAGGACGGTGGATTTGCGCTCTTCAGCGATTTTGAGTGCTGTAGAAAATGTTAGCGCATTGCCCCAGGTGGTGTCGCGTGCGTTGCTTACTCGCTCGGTATAACCATTCTTTGATCACAATTGAGCCAGCAGCGAGCCAGATGGCATTGATGTTTGGACCCATGCCCTCAATGCCATGATGGTGATGGTGGTGATGTGGTAGCAGACCCCAGTGTTCCGCAACTTCGGCAGCGCCGGGGAAGAATTGCTGACAGAGGGCGATGAGGGCGGTCCAGCCCATGAAGAAGCCTCCACCGAGCAGAATGCCGCTGACGCCTAGCGACCCCAAGCTCTCGACCTTTCCGTACCCACTTGGGAAGCGACTCGTGGGCGGCTTGAGGGACCAGCCGACGGTTGCGAGCGTCATGATGTCGCTCACGAGGTCTGTAAGGCTGTGGATGGCGTCGGCCACAAGTGCTGGGCAATGTTAGTACGGGCAATGTAGACTGCATGTGTACCCCTTACCCTGACTGTTGAAGACGTATCCGCCAAAGCCCTTGCTTATGGCCATGCCCAGGTTGACATAGAGGCCAACTCTGGTGATGCGCACGCCAGCATCGTTCTTGTTCTTAGACAACAGAAAGGTGTTATCATGGTGATGGTGGTGATGCAGGTGCGAGTGGCCAGCATGTGAATGCGAGTGCGTCGAGGCTGTCATGGTGGGAAAGGAGAGGCCGAGTGTACGGTGTCGGGCAGAGGACGGTGGGAGCAAAGGGAATAGGAGGCCCTGTGCGGCTGGCGTCGTCGTGTGGGTGCAGTGGACACGCGCCTTTGGCCGGGACAGCGGCGGCGACGAGTAAGCGTAAGGTGAAAGGGCGTGTGGTCGCAATGAGGCGTGTGTCGAGTACTTGAGGTGAGCACTATACATGGCCTGGGGCGAGGGCCTGACAGCGCGTCCATGGCTAAAGACACGCATGCCGTATCCATCTCTGCTGACGGTACGCAGTAACATGGGCCGTGGTGGCAGCGGAGGCGCCTCGTGCTTGTGCGGGAGTGCCAAATGCAATGCGGCTGCTCTCTCCAAGCCGATTTTGCGCCTCTACTGCGGTTGCGGTTGGCTGCCGGTCCCGGTCTTGTTCCTGGTCCATCACCACAACGCCTTGTGCGTCAATTGCCGCAATTGTGGGGCGACCCATGCCATCTCGACATGTTCTACTCTACATACCACGGCTATGTACTACACGTGTTGAGCAAGACGGTCACTGCCAGTAAGTACCAACCCCGCTCGCTGAACCGCATTCCCACAACGGCCAATCCAATTGACATACCTATACATGGCATTGCTACTACATGGACCAATACCAACCCGTCGTCGTTCCTGCAGGGACATGGGCCCGAGTAGTTTTCGCGGTGCAAACGTGCCACCAAAGACACGTATTGGCATTTGTACATACACACGCTGTATGTACCTACATACTACGTACACGCGCATCCCAGTGCATGCGCATGTACCTAGTGCTACCTGTCCGCTATTCGAAACACCTCTCCCGCGGTTCCATCACCCCGCCAGCTTGCCCGCCGTCGTCTTCAAAAGCTCCGACTGCGCATCATAGCCTTGGCTTTGCGCCATCTGCTCCGGCTGCGTCCGTGCACCGGGCCAGGATCCAGTTCACCACGTCGTCCAGGAACGCTTCTTTATCAGGACTAGGCTCCTCATGTACTGGCAATGTCAGTGTGCCGTCTGCCTTTGGGTTCCGAGGGTATACGTACGGCGATGGTAATGCCCGGGATATGACTTGAACTCCTTGTCCTTGACTTGCAAGGCATCGAATAGTCGCTTCGACGCCGCGTGGCTAGTGATGCCGTCCTTGTCCCCATGCCCAATCCAAATTCTCGTCACGCCACCTTCTCCAGCATTGTCGGGAATGACAATCTTTCCGCTGGATAGAGCATTGGTTCGATCGAGCAGCCCTGCGAGGCCCTCGAGAGTGCCTGTGTCGTGGCAAAGCGGGTCCTCCTCAAATCGCTTGCAGACCGCTGGGTCGCGTGAGATGAGCTTCGACTCCAGCTTGTTGACCATCTGGCGTTTGCCCGCAACTTTCCCCGCCAGTCTGCCGAAGAAAACAGTAACGGCAGACGGCTTAGATTTGGGGTCAAAGTCAACAAAGGGTGACTCGAGGAGGTAGCCACGAATGTGCTTGCGGACCTCGTCAGGGCCATGGGCCGCATAGCACAGCGTCTGGCCTCCGCCCATGGAATGGCCCATCATAAAAAGGGGCGCTGGGCTGGGAGTGTTAATTACTGTCTTCATGAAGGAAGTAATATCGTCGAGGACCTGCTCAGTTGGACCCGTGTCGCCTCGCTCAGACGGCTTCGACACTGATCGGCCCCATCCTCTGCACTGGCTTTAAAGACGTACTCAAAAAGAATAGTGTGGACGCGTACGCACCTCTGGTCAAAGGTATAGACCTCGATGCCTTTGGCAGCGAGTCCGGGAAAAAAGTCTGCATAAGTGTTCACTTTGCTGCCTGTCAGACGTCGGTCTTGTAGCAATAGGCCCGTATAGCCTCACCGTGCTACTCATCATCTGTCAATACTGCCGTGGATGCTATCTCAAGGATGACCATTACAACGTACATCTGAAAAGCCATGGATAAAAACAAGTCTTGCCTTGGGGGGCCCGTCGGTCTGTTCAATAGATTAATGCCGATCACTATGGTGCAGGCTCCACTGTACCCTGAAGGTCTTGGTGAACAACTTCTTGCCATCGGCGAGGGTATGCGTGCCCTCTTCGACAGACATGGCGGCTGTATGCGGGTGGAGTCGGGACAAACAGGCAAGGGAGAAAGGCCAATGTATAGGAGGTGTAGTTGGGATCTGCGTGGAAAGGGACTATTGGGGGCGCTGGGCGATGGCTAGCAATTGGAGCTGTGCTGCGTTGTTGTCATGGCCCCGAAAGTCAGCCGCTGCGCCCGGATGCGTCATAGCTCCGGGTGCCATCATGTCTGGCGCCCGTCAGCCACTCGGCCGCAAAGGATGACCTACTCCTACTATACGCACCCAAAAGCCGCCCAACAAGCCGAATTGCTAGCCATGGGTTGGTATAGCCCAGCATATACGGCTATAATTAGTGGCCGGCAAAGCTGCCGACTTGTACCCAAGGGGTGAAGTCGGCTAGACTCAACGGCTGCCGTCCAAGCTCCTGCCCGATGGATCATCCTGCATACGCATTGGACCCCTCTTGCTGGTGTCCCCACCTACATTTTCCTCGTGCTAAGATACTTCTTCTTCCTGTTATGAACAGGCTCGCCCGCCGACTCCCGTCTCATCACCTTACCTCGCGACTTCTCACTCCACTGAGAAGCATGCTGGGCAGCATGCCACAGACACGCTCCGCCAAAGCGATCCTCAGCCATCAAGACCGCACCGCCAACGAACCCCGGGAGAAGGAGTTGCACACTGCCACGCTGACCAAGGTGACGCCCGTCAACGACCGTATCAAGCGCTTCGTATTCGAAATCAAGGACAAGAACGGCTTCAACGTATGACGGAATCCATCTCGCCCGCAACACATGCGCTGATGGACAAGTCAGTTCCTCCCTGGCCAATGGCTTGATGTCTTTGTGCCTGATGTAGAAAAGGCAGGTGGCTTCTCCATTACCTCTTCGCCTTCCGAGGCCCTGCCACGAGCGGACCCTGAGCACAAACCATACTTTGAGTTGGCGGTGCAGAAGAGCCCAGACAACCCTCCAGCAGCATGGTTGTGGAAGCCAGCCGAGGAAATCATTGGGGGCGAGGTCAAGGTGCGGGTGGGCGGAAGCTTTGTATGGCCACCGCCGTGCCTTGACATGAAGAAGATCAAGCGCGCCATCTTCATTGCCGGCGGAGTGGGCATCAAGTAAGTCGCAACTACCCCACACGGATCAGCTGCGCGTCTTCGGAGACTAATTCGTATGCACAAGCCCAATGATGTCAATGATGACCTATATAAACCAGAACTATCCCAACCTCGAAGTGCGCTTCCTATATTCGACAAAGGTGCCATCGCGCGAAACAGATCCCAGTGAAGTGCTATTCCTCCAGGACGTGCTCGATCTCTTCCGCATACCCCGATTCAAGGTGACCAAAGATCGACTTGAACTCTTCTTCACGGGCACATGGGATGGGTCTGAAATGGGCACCAATGAAGGGGACCTGATACACCCGCTAATGTCTCTGACGCTGCCGCAAATTGACTCTGCCACGGAAGTGCCCGTGTGCGCATGGACGCACCGCATCGACGACATAGCTCTGTCGAGCGCAGTAGGCAACCGGAAGGAGGCGCAATCGACCGTCTTCTATGTGTGTGGACCGCCTGCCATGGCGGACGAGATGGTGGAGTTTATCAAAGGACAGGAGAATGTGGATCCGCAGAGGGTGTTGTGCGAGAAATGGTGGTGATGGAGTGGGATTAGAATGGATCAAAGCAATGATAGTGATAGGGCGGCATGTGGGAATTGTGGGGAAGGCGATCGGGACTTGGGGAGTTTGCATGCGCAGTGGTTCCCATCGCGGCAAGCGCTATTGTATGTACGATGCTCACACCATTAACTGTATTTTACGCGCCCACAAAGGCCGCAAAATCGTCATGGCTCGTGATGGACGGGTAGGGTGCTCCACCTTGCAAAGCTTATTGCGCAACCCTGATTGCGCATTTTGCTCTGGGCTCGACGGAGAGGCTGGGGTGGCCGTGTGCGCGCATGGTGTAGTACACAGATAAGTATATGCCTTGTGGCGGCACAGCAAGCGATCGCTTATGTCAAGTAGTGTATGCAGTGCAACCCCGCGGTCAAGTGCTCGAGTTCATCCGTCCTGTTATCGCTTGGGGTGAGATTGCCAGAGCCCAAAACGTCGCTATTAACCCACATTGTGTGGTTGTGAGGGCAGGGATTAGCGCAAGGGACACGCCCTCTAGCTCCCGCTGACGCTGCCGTCCTGCACGCCTGATTCGCCATCACACTTTACGAGCTGTGTGATCGCGCAGCATGCGTGTGCCACTCAGCGCCTGCCATGGCTCTTTCGCCCCTCAGCTCACTACCGCCATCGGCTAGAATGGGGCCTTGGACGCCTGTTAAGAACATTCCTCGCCCCGGACACCTGGGAGCTGATGCTGATGGCTTGACTGTGCGCTCGCGACTCGACCATCGCCGTCCACCAAGTACCACCACCAGAGACGAGCCCTAGCAGTCTCTCGTCCCCAGCACCCGGTTGCGACGCCATTGCACCACCATACCCGTCTGCGCATTCGAGCTTTATCCTCCCCCACACCCGTCGTCATCCGTCCCCAGGGCCCTGCTTGGTTCGCCAACCCCACCCCGCCGCCATGGGCTTTTTTATATCGCGAACATGGCGACTGCCATCAATCATCTGGTTCCTCATGGTCTTCGAGCTGCCCTTTACCGTCGCCAACCTTGCGCTCTTCGGCATTGCCTCACCCAACCTATATCGCACCATCCTGTGGAAAGAGGGCGGACAGAGAGGTTTCAATTCGGACCCCAGCACCGTTCTCTACTCGTATGCCAACTACCGGCCCGTAGAGACACCTCTCGTATGGAGCAGCTTGTGAGTGCTCGGACCCATCTTTACATCGCCAGCGTCGTCTAACAACATTCCAGCAACACACAATATCATCTTGTCATTGGCGTTGTGTGTACCTTTTTCTGGCTTGTCAAGGTGACCCTATGGCTCCTCAAAGTTCTATACCCGATCCTGTCGCTTCCCCTCCACATCGCCCTCGCCTGTCTATGGGCATACGGAATCCATGTTCAAACTGCTCCTGACACCATTGATCCACAACGCGTGAACAACGGACCACCGTGGTACATTACAAAGAACTGCGATATTGTCGAAGACAAGAACATCAGAAGCTACTGCATGCAAGCAAAGAGCAGTTTTGCTGTTAGTATCATTATGCTGTACGTATCCTTACACTTGTAAACAGATGGCAAATCTAACGCAAATCAGAGCAATTTATTGTGTGTTTATCATCCTGTCTGTCTGGTCTCTAATCCCCACCGCTGCTCAAAAAGAAGCACATGCCGTTAGGAAGGCGGAAAAGAAGGCCGAGAAGGAGAAGTGGGAATCTTCACCCTACGACAACGAAATGACAGCCGAAGAACAATGGCAACACATGTGGGAACTGCAGCAATTACCCCGTACTCCCGGCACAATTGGCGGCATGAAGTCACCCATGACGCCACGCACTCAAGCCTTTAACAACCTGGGTGGTGAAGAGGCTGGACATGGTGGTTTTTATCCGCCTACAGGGCAGCATGGATGGTACGGCCCACCACAGCACGGTGGTGTGCCGGTGGAGACCGTCAGTCCAGTAATGGAACATGATGAGTATCCATACGCCCATGACAATAGGGGAAAGTCCATGGGATGGGGTGGTAACGCGTACTGAGTAACGAGTACCTTTGTCAAAGTATTTTCTTGTGTTATATTTTGGGACACGGCGTTTGAGCGTGTGCACTTTTGAGATACCACCGGGGGCTTCGTCTTCACTCATTACTGGAATATGAGGGGCACAGAGGTAAAGGATTTAAAAAGAGAATCCGAGATTGTTCTCAGAATGTTTAATTGAATGATTATATCATTGTCTTTGCAGAACACTGTGTCGTCGCCATACGTTTGGTGTGACAAAGAACATGTGACACCGCGCGAACGCATATGTACATGCGATTGCGCTACACCTGATGCAGTGCTACTGCACTTGTGCTCCACATATCAAACATCGCATTTCCTCCGGACATAGTGCCATCAACCTACCACCTCACTAACATTGTCTTTCATGTCTGCCAGCCAAGGGAACCATATCGTCTGTGTGGGTGCTGTCTACATAGATACTATCTTGACGTAAGTATCAGCTTCTTGGTTTGGCGTGTTTGTAGTAGCAGTCGGCTGAAACAAGAGTGCAGTGTCCCGCACTTTCCAATTGAAGATGAGAAGTTGCGCGCTAAAAGCATCACGCGAAGAAGAGGTGGGAACACGGCAAATAGTTTGGAGGTGCTGTCACAACTGCTAGAGCACGACAAAGCACCTGCAAATCCGCCAATTTCGACAAACTTGCATCTGATAGCAGTACTTCCGAGCGAGCAATCTGCAGCCTCCCAATTCATCTTGGAATCTCTTCCAGGCGTGAATATATCTGAGTGTAGTTTATTCCGAACAGACCACCAGGAAGCCGCCTCCAGCTACATCATCCAAAGTGAAGCAAAGCGCTCGAGAACTATTGTCAGTATCAACGAGCTTCAAGAGATGCAGGCCTCTGAATTCTGTCAAAAAGTTCAGGAATTTGCCAAAATGAATGCGGGGCAGGTTTGGGAAAAAGCTTGGTTTCATTTCGAGGGCCGAATTCCAGAGGTTACACATTCCTGTGTCAAGTTCCTGCGCAGAGACTTCCCCCACTTCAGAATAAGCGTGGAGTGCGAGAAGCCTGAGCGCACAGAAATGGCAGAGGTCGCAAAGCTCGCCGATGTGGTATTCTATTCGAAGCTTTGGGCAGAAAAGAACGGATTCAGAGATGCGAGGAGCTTTCTTGAAGCACAGCGCGCAGACAAGCAGGATGGTGCAATACTTTGCTGCACATGGGGTTCCGGAGGTGCCATGGCAGTCAAAAAAGGAACTGACGAGCCTTGGGCGGATGCTAAGGCATGGCAACCGCAGAAAGATGAGTCCATTGAGGTTGTCGATACGATTGGTGCTGGAGACACTTTTATCGCTGGAATGCTCTTCGCTCTTAACAATCATGATGAATGGGCCTTACAGCGTAAATTGGAATTCGCAAACGAACTTGCTGGCCGCAAGGTCTTACAGGAAGGCTTTGTCAATCTGGGCGTCAAGATGTGGTAGATGGGCAGCCTTTGACGCTTCAGTTCAGCTCAGACAACCTTGCATTGGCTTTCTGGACGCAACTTGGCATGTCCCAAGACTTTCCAATGGCTCCTTTGAGCGGTTCTAAATCTTACAGTGCCATTGGCCACTTCTTTCAACCCAGATCGACATCACAAGCGCGGGACGAGCCTCCCGGCGCAGTTTCCAGCATGTTGGTGCTACATAGCTAGCCTTGGAAGTAGTATTCGACTTTGTGGCGCCTTTACCCCGCATGTTCCTTTTAATAGATCGTTTGTACCGGAAGACAAAGGATGCGCTAGTTTTGGTGTTGCAGGAGCTAGTAATTGCAGCTGTGGGGATTAATCGCTGGTAGTGATTCAGCGAGACGACACCCCCAAAGTTTCGTACACGGCGGAAATGAGCGCATTAGGGGGAATAGTTGGTACGGGCTGAAACGCTATCAGAATTCTGGTAACATGAGCTGAACCTGCGGAGTTGTTTAGGCTCAGGTTAGCGAGTTGAGACTGAGAGCCAATGAGTATGTTGGTGGGGACTGGGTCAAGCTGACGAGCATTAGGCGGCGTCTGCTAAGGACTTGGAGGCACTGTACGTCGGACCTTAGTACCAGTCTGGGACTTTCTAGTATCATATGATGAAATCAGTGTTGGTATCTACGTTTTGGGTAGTCAAGATCATTACTGTGCAACACATGGGACAAACTACTCGCCGACACATACTGGTTTCGCTATTAGTGCGGCTCCCCGCATCCGCAACAGCACCTCGCGTCTACACTTAAACAAGATCACCATTCGCTCCTAGATTAGTGAGTACACGTCAAAAAGCAACCGAACTTAGTATAAAAATTGAGACATTGCGAATGTAAAGTTGGATTTTTTTAATATACAGAATGGGAAGACTCTACGTCGTACCTATACTGATCTTTTTATTAGCCATCCAAACCTGCGGAGCAACGACTACTTATCCCCAATACGAACAAGAGGTTCTTTTATTGCTTTACTGTTTGGATGTTCCTGTTGGCTAAGAACTTCCAGAACAACCCATTGGCAATGTATCCTTTCGGTCAACCATACCCAGATGCTTCCAATGATACACAGTCTTGGCAAAATGAACTTTGGGTGAAGATTCAGCGTGATGCTCATGAGGATGAGATTGACTTGACTGTTCTTCCATTTGCCAAGGAAGCTATTGCCAGTATTGCAGAACTGGCTGTGAAGCAAATCGACACTAAGCAGTTTGGGTTTCAAGGAGCGAAAAGGATTGATGTGCATACACAGTGAGTTGTGTCCTCTTCTAAAACCGGTAAATGATCTGGAGAAGATGAACTAAAATGGGAAATATGTCTTTAGTCCCATACCAGACTGGTTCCGAGAACTGGAGTTGAATGCAGCAGGCCGTGCGACACCCTCTTGGACTGTGCAAGACCACCTGAAGTTTATGGATCAATATCAGATAGTGCACTCGGTTCTTTGCGTCTCCACACCCCAGGCAAATGCATTCTTGACTGAGACAGATGAAGAATCGAGGAAGAAGAAGACGCTCGCGCTGGCTAGACTACTGAACTGTTTCACTGCGGAACTGTGCAGGATATACCCTGAGCGATTCAGTTGGATGGCCATCATGCCACTACCATATGTCCAAGAGTCAATCACAGAGTTGAAAAGAATGTTCTCAATGAAAGGACAAGAGCCCATCGGCGTCGGCGTACTTACTAACCACGAGGGCCTGTACCCCGGCGATGCAACCTTCAACCCGCTATGGGCCTTTTTACAGAAAAGAGCAGATGAAGAAGGAAGGAGAGAAGTCATCTTCGTCCACCCCACCGAACCCATCATCAAACTCGACGACGGACGCTTGATAAACTCTCGACCCTGTAAGCCATCCCTTCCTTCCTCTCCACCCCCACAACGAAAAAAAAATCAGACAAACAAGCCAGTACTAAACTAACAAAAACCGTCAACACCAAATAGCACCCCTCCGCTCCGGCCTCGGCGAATTCTACTTCGAAACCGCCCGCGCAATCTCCAGCCTCACCGCCGCCTCCACCATCCTCACCCACCCGCACCTCCACTGGCGCATCTCCCACGGCGCAGGCGCCTTCCCAGACATATCCTCCCGCTTCCTCCTCGGCTTCCCCGCCATCGCCTCCGCCTCCCGCCAAATCTACAAGACTCGCTTTTGGTACGACAGTGCTGGGCCCGTGTGGCCGAGTCAGATTAAAGGGTTGACGGAGGGCATGCAGGTGCCCGTGAGTCAGATGGTGTTTGGTACGGATTATCCGTATGGTATCGGGTTTTGGGATGTTGGGGAGAATATCGGGGGGTTGGCGAGGGTGGAGTGGTTGGGGGAGGGGGAGAGGGAGGGTGTGTTTTGGGGGAATGCGAGGGAGTTGTGGGAGGGGAGGATTTGGGAGGGTGGGGTGTGAGAGGGGGGATGGGGAAGATGGGTGTTGAATCAGGATGTTGAGTTCGGATCATGACCTGATTGTTTGTATCTGTTCGGCATACAGAGTATCAGATTATTTTTCTTGGAAAAGAATGGCTGGCCACATCCCAAACTGCCGGAATTGGGTATCAAATAAAGAGGTTGGATCATGTGTATGTATCGATTTGATGTCCGGGACTTTGCTAGGATGGCTGCCAGAGTTATTCTCCTAAACCTTGCTCAAAGCACGTGACTCTGATTTTCGTCCTAATTGTATTCAGATACCGACAATTTCCAAAAGTATAGTGCCTAGTTGAACAATTCCGTGATAGTATCTTTTAAGTCACTTAACGTTGGAAGCTTCGGTTAGCTGCGGTTGGGTTACTAGCGTGCGGAAGCGGCTATCGTCAAGTTCTCTTCATGACCCCACTGTGACATCCGCCACACTCACAACCAACACCACTACGCCTTGGTATACCAAGTCGACACCGCAGTGCTTCTCATCATGTGAGGGAATCTTGTAAATCAATAACAAAACCCACAAATGCGTAAAGCCGAGAAAGCAGGGCGAAGCGCCTAATAAGTCCTAATGCAGGGAGTGCTGGATATTCGACCACGCCGAAGCGTGGAGACAACTATAGGTATAAACAATTTCCACATACTCGATAGTATTATGCACCCCACGACATCGGAGCCTAGCTAATATATCCACGCAGGAACAGGGTGCATGTCGCAAGATTTTTTTTTCTGGGAGGCGTCGGGCGCGATGGGCCGAAACCTGCGCGACGAACCGGGGTATCGATTCGAACATCGCCAAGGCAAGACATGAAAGAGAAAGTCAAGACGAAACAAGAGCTTATCAGTCGTCATGATCCGATGGAATCTGTACTCGATCCGATCTGCCAACCGAGACCAATTGCCATGATCTCAACTTGTCGTATTGTTCGGCAAACGTCGATGGGATGACGTTGATGACAAAAGCCCACAACATCGGTTGATTTCCAACCAACGCACACCCTACCAACTGCCTGAGCATAGACATCTCCGACCCTGATTCCTAATACTGCCCCCAGATGATTGGCGAGGCTGCCTTGCATAAGGCTGGTACGAAGAGTTTTGCTCCACCACTGCTAGCGCGAATTGCGTGATCGCACGTCTTCACCCCCAGCTGTGGCATTTTGCGGAGATGGTTACAAAGCGGTTTCCGATGGCGGAGCTGAATATAATCCTCCAGCCCTGCTTGTCTTCCTTCCTCCAACATCCAGAACGCGACGCTTGGTAACAGGATTTTCTTTTGGGAAGCCTTTGTTAGATACCAATTCATAAAGACTATCCACTTCTGGCTTTTCTGCACGTGCCTCTATCGTTAGAATCCCGCCACACGTCGTCTTCGAAATGTCGTCACCAGTCTTCAGCAATGTCGAAACGTACAAGCCCGCCACATTCCGTGAGGAGTCTGGTTATGCTTCAGCCGAGTCGAGCCAGGACGGTCTGCAAGAGATCTTCTTCACTAGACCTCATTTGAAGTTTATCAATGCCCAGCTGGCTAAGCTCGAGCCTCAGGGTGAGTGACGGTCTTTCATCTCGTCCAAAGTTCGTCCGGCTAACATTGGACTAGACATCCTCCGATGGTGCATTACATCTCTACCTGGGCTTTTCCAGACTACTGCTTTTGGTCTCACTGGCTTAGTCACTGTGGACATGCTCTCAAAGCTCGACGGACCCCTGAAGCACAACATTGATCTGATTTTCTTGGACACTCTTTACCACTTCGATGAGACATACGCTTTGGTTGACCGTGTCCGAAGACGATATGGAACCCCGGTCCATGTTTACAAGCCTGCTGGTTGCGACAACGTCAACGACTTTACCGCCAAGCACGGAGATAAACTGTGGGAGACCAACGATGAGCTCTATGACTATGTCGCCAAGGTCGAGCCTGCGGAGCGTGCCTACTCTGAGCTTCAAGTCAAGGCTGTCTTGACAGGTCGTCGCCGCAGCCAGGGTGGAAAGCGTGGCGACCTGGACATTGTCGAGGTTGACGAGGCTGGACTTATCAAGATCAACCCCTTGGCCAACTGGACGTTTGCTCAAGTCAAGGAATACGTCGATGCAAACGACGTGCCTTACAACGAGCTCCTCAACAAGGGTTACAAGAGCGTTGGTGACTGGCACTCAACACAACCCGTTGCTGCTGGAGAGGATGAGCGATCAGGAAGGTGGAAGGGCAAGAACAAGTCCGAGTGTGGTATCCACAACCCCAAGTCACGGTATGCTCAGTTTCTTCAAGAGCAGGAGATGAAGCGACAGAACGAGGATCTTGCCAACAAGCTGCAACAAGTCTCGTTGGCAGTCTAATGTTCCGGTCGAGAGCGTTCGTATTTTCGTTTGTTGTACAAATCTGCATTAGCATGGGCGTTTGGGTTTTCTGGGTTTAGCATACCTAGCATAGTATGGTTTAGCTGGGGTAGTCTGGAGCACCCCGATTTTACGGCATCCAGATCCGATTGCATGCAATTGGAGCCGAGATATGACCGGTGTAGGAGCCGACAGAGCTCTTTTACGAATCAGACGAGTTTATATTTATGATTACTACCATGCTACTGTTTGACTATGACACAAGTAAGGAAGTGGCTTGAAAAAAGAGCGTGGGGGGAATACGGATGCTGCATATCAGTGGACCCTGTAACCCTCCGCCCCAGGTGCGCGCGGCCTGTCATTCTCGTAGAGCGACATGCCCGAAGTTGAGACCGAAGCTACGCGGGCCCTCTTTGGCTCCGCTCTCACGTCACTCTCATTACTTTACGCAGTGGGAACAGTCAGTGTGATAGGCTCATACATCGCGCGAAATTGCGCAATCGGTTCCAAAATCTGCCGACCCATACAAAACACCCGCTTTGAAGCCTAGTCTCTGCAGCAGAGAATTTCCAAGAGAGGCCAAGGTCAACAAACGGGGAGCGAAGAGCCTGAAGTAGCCGTGGTTTGTAGAATAAAAAGCTCATGGTGCCCCCCGTCGCCGCTGTTTCTGCTCGTCAGTCGCGCAAATCGTTCTTTTGAGTGACCCCCAAGAGTCCCAAGATAATCAATAACCCTTTGGTTCGACATAGTCAGGAACGACTCCAGATCTTGTCGCATTTAACTATCCTGCCAAATTTCTGCTTCAGGATTATTCCTTTTCCCCCCTTCACACATCTCCTGTGGAAATGGCAAACACACCCCATGGTTAGTCGCTGCGCAAATTTCCTGCTGGACCAAAAAAAAGTTGCAATAGATGCTGACCGGGCGCGTTCACTACAGGCGGCGTCCTCAAGGACTTGATTGCGCGCGATGCGCCTAGGCGCAAGGAGCTTTTCGACGAGGCTGAGAAGCTTCCCGCGGTTGTTCTGACCGAGAGGCAACTTTGCGACTTGGAACTCATCCTGAACGGAGGTTTTTCTCCATTGGAGGGTAAGTCGTCATTGTTTCGCGGGGCAACATGCGAGGGGCAATGTTGCATTGCCCCTCGTGTTTGCCCTGTTTGCACCACCAGCACGGAACGGTACCTGACAGCACTATGCAGGTTTCATGAACCAGAAGGACTACGATGGCGTCGTGGCCAACAACCGTCTCGCTGACGGCAACCTCTTCTCCATTCCCATCTGCCTCGATGTTTCAAAGGAGACCATCGATGAGGTCGGCCTCAAGCAGGGCGCCCGCATTGCCCTCCGCGATTTCCGCGACGACCGCAACCTCGCCATCCTCACGGTTGACGATGTATACCAGCCAGACAAGGAGAAGGAGGCCAGGGAGGTTTTCGACAAGGACAACGACGTAGCCCACCCCGCCATCAAGTACCTCTACGAGACAGTCAAGGAGTACTATGTTGGTGGTAAGGTCGAGGCCATCGACCGCCTGGAGCACTACGACTATGTCGGTCTCCGCTACACACCTGCAGAGCTGCGTCTGCACTTTGACAAGCTTGGATGGTCCAAGGTTGTTGCTTTCCAGACGAGGAATCCCATGCACCGCGCTCACCGTGAGCTGACTGTCCGCGCTGCTCGTGCCCGCCAGGCCAATGTCCTCATTCACCCTGTCGTTGGTCTGACCAAGCCTGGTGACATTGACCACTTCACCCGTGTCCGTGTCTACCAGGCGCTCATGCCCCGCTACCCCAACGGCATGGCTGTGCTTGCTCTTCTGCCCCTTGCTATGCGTATGGCTGGTCCCCGTGAGGCTATCTGGCACGCCATCATCCGCAAGAACCACGGTGCTACTCACTTCATTGTTGGTCGTGACCACGCTGGCCCTGGCAAGAACTCCAAGGGTGTTGACTTCTACGGCCCATACGATGCCCAGGACGCTGTTGAGAAGTACAGGGACGAGCTCGGTATCGAGGTTGTTCCTTTCCTCCAGATGACCTACCTCCCTGACTCGGATGAGTACAAGCCCAAGAACGAGGTTGAGCAGGGTATCAAGACTCTTGACATCTCTGGAACTGGTACGTCCTTATGACTTTTGTGTATGGAACGCAAATGACTGACTGAACATACAGAACTCCGCAAGCGTCTCCGAACCGGTCAAGAGATTCCCGAGTGGTTCTCCTACCCAGAGGTTGTCCGTGTGCTCCGCGAGTCTCACCCTCCCCGTAGCCAACAGGGTTTCACCGTCTTCTTGACAGGCTACCAAAACTCCGGCAAGGACGCCATTGCCCGCGCCCTCAACGTAACTCTCAACCAACAAGGTGGCCGCTCCGTCTCCCTCCTCCTCGGTGAAACCATCCGCAGCGAGCTCTCCAGCGAACTCGGATTCAGCCGATCCGACCGCGACAAGAACATTGCTCGCATCGCTTTCGTAGCTTCCGAGCTCACCAAGGCCGGCGCCGCTGCCATCGTCGCCCCCATTGCTCCCTTTGAGGCTTCAAGACAGGCGGCCCGCCAGACAGTCGAGAAGTACGGCTCTTTCTACCTCATCCATGTTGCCACTCCTCTCGAGCACGCCGAGAAGAACGACAAGCGCGGTATCTATGCCAAGGCGCGCGCTGGTGAAATCAAGGGCTTCACTGGTGTCGACGACCCGTACGAGGTCCCCTCCAAGCCCGACCTTACTGTCGATCTCTCAGTCAGCAACGTCAGGACAGCAGTCCACCAGATTGTCCTGTTGTTGGAGAGCGAAGGTCTCTTGACTCAGTTGTAAAGAAAAGGGACTGAGAGAAGAAAAAAAAAGTAAAAGCGGCGACCCTTCCTTTTTTTCTGTTTTTTTTGGCAACTTTGGAAATATATGAGCGATGATGGGTCCATTTTTTAACGACTCTTTTAACGAACCTTTTTTGTTTTACGAGCTTTGAGACTCCCCCTTTTTTTTTGAGAAGGGGGGTCATGGATGCGTAGATTAGACGCATGCAAGATGGATGATATAAACTAGACTTGAGGTTTAGAAGTATTGATCAATATTGGATTGGTTTTGATGGCAAAAGATGATTGTGTCTTGAACACGCTTGCTTGAATGTGTTTCTCCCCAAGGCTATTCGTCTCTTTTATCTAAAATATAGGTACAGTGATATACATGAATTTCACCTTCACACAGCACGAGCCATCTTCTCCTTCGCCTCCTTCTCCCTCTTCCGCGCCTCCCTCTCCGCCCTACGCATAGCCCTCAAATCCGGCGGCTTCTCAATCCCGAGCCTTGTCCTCAACTCATCAATATCCGTCTCAAGCTCCTCCTCCCAATAAACATTAATCACATCGCCACTCAACGCGCCATTCCTCGCCGCCCACGGCCCATACACATCCCAGAAGCGGCGCCACTCTGCTTTCTTCAGCGTAAACGCACTAAACACTGCGAGCCCCGTCATCGGCAGCCCCGTATTCGCGAATTCAAACGCTTTAAGTGCTACTTCGCCCTCGCGGAAGACAGGGAGACCTACAAGCGCGTGGTAGAAATCGTGGCACTCGCGGTACCGCTGCATGACGTACGCGCATTCCTCGTCGTCAATGTATTGCACCGGCGCCCGTGTATCAGGTGAGACGCCCTCACGGTCCAGCCACGCGGCATACGCATACCCCAGTGTATTCTGCGGTAGCTTTCTTAGCCGCGGTATATCGAGCGATGTGGAAGTTAGGCGTGGTCGATCGCGTAGGATGCGGCGGCCGGTGGGGTGTAGGAGCATGCGATCGCGGAGTTTGTAGATGAAGTAGGGTTGGGCGGTTACTTCGCCGAAGGAGGCGATGAGATCTGAGGATTGTTTGTAAGTAGTTGAGATGAGACGTGTGAATTAGGAATAAGTACCTCCTCGTCGTGGATCGAGAAAACTCCCGATTCCGGAGCCGAGGACAAGACTGAGGCGCTCGAGGCGTGTCAATGGGATGTGGCCCTTGTAGTTTGGTGGAGGGCGGTTGAGGACGGAGAAGGTGCGGAGAGATTGGACATGTTGGGATGGGGCTTGGGGAATTGATCGCGCGGTCAGCTTCGGTAGCTGCTTTATTCGTACATGTCGAGCCATTGGGACGTCGCCAATATGTTGGCAATGGCTATTGTCTTTGGAGCTTTGAATGTAGCAGAGGTATGACATGATGTAGGGTCTTATCGATAGGGTGCGCCACAGGCACCAGCCACATCAATCACGCTATTTATGACTTCTTTGCGACTCATCGGTGCTTGAAAACACTTCTACAACAAACATTTCCTTTTCGCCTGGAGTGGCTTAAAATAGCATTCATCAATTACTAGAGCATTCGTTCGAGTAATCTCTCTTCAATTTAGCTCGTCAACCTCAGAGAGATAAGGCGCCGTAACTTTTTTCCAAGGCAAATAAAGAAAGTACTTCAGTGACTGAAGTAACTGGGGATATTGATACCAGACCCATTCTTTCCGGGAAAACCGGTGTCAAAATCAACAAAACAATATATCTTCAGACAATCATGGCGGCAGCTCTCGATCCCGGCACCAATCACACCGATTTCATCTCATGGGCAAAGACCAACGGTGTTGAAATCAATGGCATTGCTCCAGCCCGCTTCGTCGGCCGAGGAATGGGCATCGTAGCCGCTCAAGACATCAAAGTCAGTCCTCTTTTTGAAATCAAGCCAAAGTGATGCTAAATCATCAAGAAAGGAGACAAGCTAGTCCACGTCTCCAACAAATCTCTAGTCCATGTCGCCCTCCCCAGCATCCACAGTCTCAAACTCCCAGACACCATCACCGTGCACGGCAAACTCGCCCTAGCCCTCGCTCTTTGGTACACCGGCCGCAAAGATCACGACTACACCCTCTGGCACAACGTATGGCCCACATCCTCAGATTTCAAGTCCACGATGCCACTCTACTACCCCCTTCCTTTACAATCCCTTCTGCCGCCCGCAGCCCGCACCCTCCTAACCAAACAGCTCCAAAACCTCGAGAGAGACTGGACTAGCATCGCACCGCACAATCCAGGTATTACGAAGGAAACCTACACCTACACCTGGCTCATCGTCAACACCAGAACCTTCTACTGGTCCTACCCAGACCTCCCCAACGCCTCCCCGCTCCTCCCCAAACGCCGCGCAAAACTCACCGCAGACGACTGCTACTGCATGTGCCCTTTTACCGACTACTTCAATCACTCCGATTCAGGCTGCGACCCGCAGATGTCACCAAGCGGTTACACAGTAACTGCCGACCGCGCGTACACCGCTGGCGAAGAAGTCTTCGTAACGTACGGCCCGCACACGAGCGATTTCCTACTCACGGAATATGGATTTATTCTCCGAGAGAAGAATCGACATGATGGCGTTCCCCTTGATTCACTGCTACTGCCACTGCTGGATGGAGATCAGGTTGCTGCGCTAAAGGAAGATGGATTTTATGCTAATTACACGCTGTTTGGCGAGGAAAAGGAGGAGAGGGTGTGTTATCGGACGCAGGCTGTGCTGAGGCTGCTTGTGCTGGATGCGAAGAGGTATGCGGCGTTTGTTAGTGGGGATGATGATGGGGCGAGGGATCAGGCAAGGTTGAATGAGTATTTGGCGGGTGTGCTGACGAAATACTCGCGCAAGATTGTGGATATTATCGAGGAGGTTGAGGGGCTTGATCTCAGCAAGGACGCGGAACAGGCTGAAGAAGGGGTTGTCGAGGGCCAAAGAGAGACGCTTGTAAAGAGGTGGAAGCAGATACGAGATATTGTCAACAGCGGGATTCGATTTCTCGAAACATAGCGCTCATTCACACTTCACGCAAACAATCAAGAGTTAAATCACAGCACACGACCTTCCAGGAAATATGTTTGAAAGAGTCATCTGTTTCATAATCATCTGTTATGCAAACCAAAAACGTCTACTAAATAGCCCCAATTGACCTTTTACGCTTTCAATACGCGAAACTAAAACACTCACAGAGCAATAGCTCACGCTACACTACCCACAACCAGAGCTGCAACGCCCTCCTCCTCACTTCTTACATCAATCTTCATCGTCACACCAGTCTTTGCACTAAACGCCATTCGTACCATGGCTGCAACCTTACCACCTGTGATGGTCTTGCCGTACAGCTTGAGCGTATGTGTTGATGTTGAGAGGGCGACGTCGGTGCCTTCCAATGGCTGGAGGGACAGCGTCTTGGTGAGTTGTTCGGTAGCATCTGCTCTTTGTTAGTAAAGTGACATATTGAGAATTCACAAAAAACATACCTGCTATGCTCTTCATGTTGCCAAGCTGCAGAGTCTCGGTTGCTGTGTCATTGTTCGACTGCTCCCATACATTGTCGAAGCTGCCAGCATACGCAGGTACAACGTAATCAGCGCCAGTGAGGTAAAGATCTTCGACCGAGTATTCGTCTGGGTAGCCATCGCCCTCTTCTGGCTCGTTTGTGCTTGGGTCGATCTCCTTGCTTGTGAACTTGAGTACGTTGGTGAAGCTTGCCGCAATGAATTGCGACTCGGTCTCGAGGCGCTTGAACGACACGTAAACAGTACCTGGCTCGTTTGTGGAAAGCTTTGGTGCCGGGATGACAAACTCCTCCTCTAGTTGAACATCGCCGTCGTCTTCGGGGGTAACAACCATCTCGACATCCAACAAGACTGTGTCTTCGAGGGTGTTCTTGATGTCGTACTGGATGACAACATGGTCCTTGAAGATGTGCTTGATGGCCGTAACGACGTATTCGGTCTCTGATTCGGTGAGCTCGACAACATCGCTTGACTTGAGCACGCCTCCATGAGCCGCAAGTTCGGGAATCTTCTGCAGCTCGGCAGCGTACTTTTGCGCATTGTTGGCAGCGTTCGCGGCAGCGTCTGCTCCCGCTTTTGAAGGTTGCTTCGCAGCGCTGGGTGCCTTGAGTGTTGGGGTAGCGCCTTCGGTCTTCTTGGTAAGATCTGCGGCATCTGCTTGCTCGCGCGAGACAGTGGGGATCTTGGTGATGTCGAATGCAGTCTCAAAGGTGTCGCGGGAATCTGAGCTAACGTACATGGCCAGCTGGTGCTCGAGAACTGGCAGTGAGAACATGGAATCGTTGCGAATAAAGCTGATGGCCATGTCGTCATCCTCCTGGTCCATCAACCGGAGGTTCAATGCAGCACGATCTCGGACCTCGTCATCAACATCGTCAAGGCAGCGAGTGAGCAGAACGTGGACCGACTTCTTGATCTCAGGGTCCTTCTGACCAACACCAAACTTGGCGAGAGCAGAAGTTGCAGCAGCTCTGACAATAGCATTCTCCAAAACAACACGGTTGTAGATATAGCGGATGTACTTGGTAGGGTGAGGTGTCGAGGGGCCTTCGCGTCCGAGAACAAACAGAATCCGCACGGCAAGCTTGGTGAACTCGCAGTCCTCGATGAACTCGCAGAGAGTCGCAAGCGCATCCTCCTTGGCTTCTGGAACGAATCGAATAAGGTCCATGATTGCCTCTACAACTGCTCTCTTGAACTCGTAACCGCCTTCGTCACGCAGGATGCCGCTAAGGAAAGCAAGGAATCCAGACTGCTTGGACTTGAACTTCAAAGCCAAAGTTCGGACAGCCTCGACAATGGTCACCTTGAACTCGTCTGTAATCTCAGCCATGAAGCCTGTGATTTGCTTCATCAGCCTATCTACCGACGATTCGTTGCCCGTCTTGAGGAGCGTTGTGATGGCAAAAGTCGCGATGCTACGGTTCGAGTTGGTGATGAGCGACTCAATATCTTGGTTGCACGACCGGACGGCGTCAGGCTTGAAGGAAGCCATTTGTGACAGAATGCGGAGAGCAGCAAACTTGGTAACCGCGCGTGGCGATGTGAGGAAGAGCTGGAGAACGTGAACGGCCTGGACGAGCTCGGCGTCGGTAACATCGCGCATGTCGCAAATGGCCTTTGCAGCTTCGAAGTTGACCATCTCGGACTTGTGTCGCAGCCAGCCGTCGAGGAGCTGCATCATGGGCTAATGATATGGTCAGCAGGCTCATTGTATTACATGGAGAGTGTCGCACCTTTCGGAGATTTGGGTCCTCATCAGCCAGCTTAGCTGCCAGTCTTACAAGTAGGACGGTAGCAGCAGGGCTCTTGACAACACCAGCAGCCGAGTACTGCTGCACCATCTTGACCAGGCTCATCCTGTCGCCAGAGCGCATCTGGTATAGCAGGCCAATGGCGTGGTACTGTGTCATGTAGTTTGTGCTGGCCTGGAGAGCGGTATGCGAGCTTCCTCCAAATCCACCCAAGAAGCCACCGCCCGATTTGCTTCCAGAGGCAGCCTCTGCGGCCTCAGACTGCCACCTCCTGACTACATCCTTTGCGACCGGGAGAAGGTGATATGAGGAGACGAGAGCAGCCGAGGCTACGGAAGGGTTTTTGTCGACAATGCACGTCTTGACCAGACGCTCAATGGCCTGGACAGTGGAAGCGTCAATGACACGGCAGAGGGCGCGGATGGCATTTGGGCGGTAGACGACGTCGCTGCCGACGGAGGTATCCTTCATAATCGACGAGGTAACCATGATGACATCGTCGGCGGAGCCAGCGAGCTCCTTGATGACGAGGTAGACCATCTGGCGGAGCGAGGCATCTTTGTTCTGGAACAGCTTGGAGATGCCAAAGAAGAGGGTTGTGGCTTCTTGCCGGCCCCAGCTCTCTCCGGTGAAGAGCAGAAGGGCCAGCTTGGTCAGGATTACTCTACATTTCCTGGGCGAGATGGGGCTCTGGTTGAATACTCGTGCTGGAGTGCAACGTCAGCCTGTACTGCGCAACACTTCGCCAATGCTTGTGCATGCGATTGCAGACGGCCCTACCTTCTTGGAACACAGATGTCTTGTCGATTTGCGCCACGCCGCCCGCATCCTCGTGCTTCTTGTCCATGGTGGTTGTGTGCAGCACCGCGTGCTAGCTTTCGTGGGCGTAGATGTATAAGCCTGTCCCGCTCTTCCTCCGCCTTTAACGTGGCCTCTGCGACGGGGGGAGATGTATTATGTGGCCGAGCGTCGCCCAGCAATTGACGTGGTGGAAAGGAGGGGCGAGTGCAGGGTGATTATGGCGGCGTGGGCGTATAGTCGGGTAGTCGTGGTGAATTGGCGACGTTGTATGTAAAGATGGGCTTGACCGGGCGGGAGTGCAGGTGCAGGGATGTGGCCGCTGTGTGGGCTGCTGTTGCATGCCTCGAGCTGCTTGGCACCCGGACTCTGCAACTGCATGCGGTCCGGGTATTCAAGGCTCTGACTACGATAACTTTTTGCCCAACATTCTCGCTCTTACGTTCCTTTCCCTTTCCTTTCCTCTCCCCCACATAAGATATAATAAAACGATACAATGGCCGCCTCAATACCACGCACACGCTGTCTCGCAGCATTAAAAGCAGTCCCACGCTCAACAGCACCGCTGAGATCCTTCGCCACAACCTCCGATGCGCCACAACCACCAGCCTCAGAAACTCCCTCAAAACGCTCCCGGCCCGCGACCTCATTTAGCGATACTCTGAATGCCGGTCCTTCATTCGGCGACTTTGTAAACCCCAATGCGCCCCTCTCCCCCGCCGAAGCATACGAGATCAAAACCGTCCAAGTCGGCCCAGAGGGGCGCAAAAAGACAATCACACGACTACCCGAGTGGCTGCGAACACCAATCCCCTCCAACGCCAACCAAAACTACAAGCAAATCAAAAAGGACCTGCGAGGCCTCAACCTAGCCACAGTGTGTGAGGAGGCAAGATGTCCAAACATTTCCGACTGCTGGGGCGGCAGCTCAAAGAGTGCGGCAACGGCAACCATTATGCTCATGGGCGACACATGCACGCGCGGATGTCGCTTTTGCGCCGTAAAGACATCCAAGGCACCACCACCACTGGATCCCCACGAGCCTGAGAACACAGCCGAAGCACTGCGGAGGTGGGGTCTGGGCTACGTTGTCATCACTGTCGTCGACCGCGATGATCTCGCAGACTCGGGTGCCCACCACATCGCCGAGACCATCATGAAGATCAAGCAAAAGAACCCCACGCAGCTCGTCGAGCTACTAGGCGGAGACTACGGCGGCAACCTGGAAATGGCCAAGGTCGTTGCGAGAAGCGGGGTGGACGTCTTTGCGCACAACATTGAAACCACGGAGCGCCTAACACCTTTTGTCCGCGACCGAAGAGCAAAGTTCAGGCAGAGTCTCGATGTGCTACGGTCAGCAAAGGAGGCCCAGCCCGAACTCATCACAAAGACAAGTATGATGTTGGGTCTTGGGGAAACAGACGAGGACGTCTGGCACGCCCTACGAGGTATGTAACGCAAACTCCCACCAACCAACCCAACCAAAAAAGAAAGAGCCACACGAACTAACATGCCTGATTTAGAACTGCGCGTAAACGGCGTCGACGTTGTCACCTTCGGCCAATACATGCGTCCCACTAAGCGCCACCTCGCTGTCCACGAATACGTAACCCCCGACAAATTCGAACTCTGGCGCCAACGCGCCCTCGACATGGGCTTCCTCTACTGCGCCTCTGGTCCCCTGGTCCGCTCAAGTTACAAGGCTGGTGAGGCGTTTATCGAGAATGTGCTCAAGAAGCGGAGATTGGGTGCGTCGGCTGAGACCAAAGTCGCCGACTTGAATACGGCTGAGGAAGCTGGCAAGGAACTGTAATTTTTTGTATGAAAAAAAAGGGTAGTTTGTATTTTTTTTTGTAGATTTAGGTATTTTTGGGGGAGATATCCATGAAGTCAGGATCGCTTCAACTCGATGCTGCAACTTTTTTATGATTTGTACTATGTTCTTCTAAGGCAGTGTGAGATCTTAGTCAGGAAACGACCGAAGACACAAGATGTATTCGTATGCACTAATCAGTGTATCAAGGAGAAAAGTGTCGTTAATTCATATATGTACGTAGCCGCTGGGCTAATGTGAAGATAAACAATCATGCATCCAGCATGTCCAATGTTATGTACCCGCCCCCCGTTCCCCATCTAGAGAAACCCCAGTAACCCAGACACCCAGTCTAAGCACCATGTAACTCCCCTCATATACAATCCAAGCACCATATGCCCCCCCATCGTGTACAATCCAAAAACGCTAATCAAGAACGAATGTGCAGGAGAAAGGAAACATGTAACGATTGACCGAACCACCATGCGGGTTCAACTCACTCCCCAGTTATCATTCGTGGAGGAGGACACCGCTCATCGCGCCTGCGCTAAGATCGGGGCAAAGAAAGCCCACGATCAAACCCGCCCTTAGTTGTTCGGGAACCCGGCCTTCAGGTTATCATACTTGCTCGTAGGGTAGCTGAGCAAGTTGGTCGATTGATCCAAGGCACCAATACCTCCAATGCCCTTAACAAACTGCCCTCAAAGTCAGTACTAGAGTCTTGGAGAAAAAAGAGAAAAAAGAAGGACATACCGTAGATACCAAACTATCGTCACCCTTCTTATCACTCGAGCTCTCCCACCACATGCCGCCACCAAGTCCGTTGTCACGGATAAGCTGGGTTTTCTTGGCAATAATCTCAGGTGTGTCATAACTAATCATGAGCTTAGAGTTGGAATCATAGCTCCAGCTAGCTGTGATTTGGTCGTCAGTGTAGATTTGAGCGCCGGCCTGTGGCAGGACCTTGTAGTCGTAGACGCCTGTTTCCCAGGTGCCCTGTCCCACACCCTGGTAGGGCTTGCCTGGGCCGTCGGTGTTGGCAAATGAGCGGCCGTACAGTGGCATTCCGAGAATAATCTTGGAAGCTGGGACGCCGGCAGCGACGTAGTCATTGATAGCTTTAGTGGTACTGAATGGGGTGCTGTTTGAGTTGCTAACGGATGGTGCCCAGTTAGCGAGGTGTCCAGAGGTAGTGTCCCACGATCCGGCATAGTCATAGGCCATCTAATCATGTCAGCTACGTTGCTTCTCTTTGAGATAATCATACACATACCAGGTTCCAGAAGTCAAGGTACTGGTCCATCTGGCCGAGCTTCATAACGTTGTAGTGCGTGGGGCCTGCAGGAGATGCGATTGTTAGAAGAAGATGTTGGCCGTTAGCATTTTCGTTCGAGTAGGCTGTCAATGCCCGGCGCGTCTCCTGTAGGAGGAGAACCATGTCATTTGCTTGGGAATCGTTTGCTGGGTACTCCCAATCAATATCAAGGCCATCGAAACCCATATTTGCCAAGAGGGCAACAGCGCTGCTCGCAAACTTTGCTCGTCCCTGCGCAGTCGATGCAGGTGTCACGAAATGAGATGAATAGGTCCATCCTCCAATAGACAAAAGTACCTTAAGCTTGCGGTTGCGCTTCTTCTGGAGGAACAGCTGCTTCACGCATCCGTAGACATTGTTTCCAACATCATTCCAAGAATCATTTGGGTAGTGCTTGTCGGTGTCGGACCAAGAGTCGGTCAAAAAGACCTCACCCGTGTCCCGAACATCAGCAAATGCATACAGGACATGGGTTAACTCTTCAGCTGGAAGATCCTGTGGGTTGTAGTTGCGGCCATAGATAGCCTGCGGGGTTCATCAGTATGTAAATCCTCCGCTATTATGCTAGGGACAACGTACCCAATTGACAAAGTAAGCAACATTCTTGTAGCCCGACGTTGCAGAGTTCATGACGTTCTGCTCAGCCTGTGGAACTGGGCTGGCTTGAACAGACGTGAGGGAGTGGAATAGGGATGTCATTCCCAGAACCATGTTGGTGACGCGCATTGTGATGTCGCTAGTGGCGCGCTACGCCGTGTTACGTGGCTGTGGCGGAGGCTAGTGCAGGTACGGATGTGGCTTCGGTTCAGGACCGCAGTTCAAGGAAAAGTGGAGGGATGGGAGGCCTTGTCGAAGTGTTTCAAAAAAGGCGTTCAACCCTCGGAACTTATACAAGAAGGAAAGATATCGACTGGCGGGCAAAAGGACACTACCGTTTAGTAAATGCGATAAGGAACGAAGAAGGTCAGTCGACCCTGCAAGGAACTAGAGATTGGTCAGAGGATACTACACAATCTCTCTAAAAGGAATGTGACAGTGACGAAGTGGAAGAAGATGGTGCAGAGATAGTAGACTTCAGGATAGATGGGTTACATATCCTCGTCCACGCGCCGACGGCATTGCATCGGCAGGGTCGTGAAGCTAATGTTCGCGCGTGGGTATTTCGCAGGATGCATTAGTCCCAATCCTAAGAACATATCCGATGGCCCAGAGCATAGGGAGAACGACGGATCAGGTACAAACGGGTACAGTCTGGAGACAGATGAGTGCAGGTACCTTGTCCTCGGAGCGAGATATTAAGCGCCGAACGATCCTGCACTTAAGATAGCTCGCAGATACGATATAGCCGCCAATGGTTCTCTATTCTCAGTTGATAGAAGATAATTTTGCTCTTCGTTGTTTTGAAAATGTCGGCAAATCTTCTTAGTGTACAAGTCTCCCATCCACTGCACTAGCAGTGACATTATGGGAAGCTAGCGGCGCCTTTCTTGAAGGAGTTACTGGAAGATCCACGGGGTTCCAAGAGCCCAAAGGCGGCAACTTCCCGATGATGGATTTTCTGCATGGTGCGTACGTGAAACCTCCTACAATCCTCACGGCTTCGGTGCTGTGGCGGTGTGCAACGTCGAGATACGACACAGCACCAAGTTCAACAACGGCATCCAACTGGCTGCTACTCGCTTGCTCTGTAGGGGCTGCCTCACGGTCCCTATTGGCGGTGTGGTGAACCCTTGCCATCGGCACGCTCAAGTATGACCCTCCAGTTGAAAGTCATGTGAGATGATAAGACGTTGCGAAGCTTCCACTGGCTTGCTTCGTGAGGGTGGATGCTGTAGGAGCCAGGATGGATAGATGAGAACGCGCGCCACAAGCACAGTAACAGGAATAGTCCAACTTGGTGCCAGACAGGGTATTTTGACCAGGGCTGAAGAAGGTGGAGATGGGGACCCACATGAGCGCATCTCCCGCGCGCGTGGATATGTCAAGCCGTCAGATCATCTGATCGCGCCCGCCGGGCACTGATACTGCGAAGCGACGCTTGCGCTCGACGGGGATAGCATGAAGGCCGATGAAGATGATCCAAGCGTATCGCGGAGAGGAGCAGGTGGTTTGACCGTTAGGGCGGACGGTTAGCCACATTTAGCCGCGATGCAGGGCGAGAGACGAGAGACCGAAGTAGAAGGAATTCCGGCCGAGATGCAGCAAGTTCACAACTCTCCACACTCCAAGCTCTATTAGCGCGTCAAGTGAGCCGCCCACTCAAGGAGGATAGAGGCACGCGATGCTGTTTTTTGAGGTGCTTGCAGCGGAAGGAATGCCACGCTCCACGGCACGCGCTGAGGAAGCTTGGCCTTGACGAGGTTTTGCTGAGTCTTGCGAGGCATACGGAGACCTTGGCAGTTTGTTGCGGCTCGTGCCGTTGCATCCTATGAACAGATGGATAGCGGAGAGTGAAGAGAGACGGGTGTGCGAACAAGAGAGACAGTAGTACGTGACGACTTGTGTAACCCTCGGCCCGTGCACGCTCGGCTTCCATTCTACCCCGTTACTCCTTTCCTACTGTAGTAACCGTTGTGTTACATCGCAGTAACTACTCCCTTAGCCTACAGTCTCTAGTATTATCTGTGTTGTAATGCCAACCATGTGACTTGTCGGCTGAGTCAAACATGTTCTTCCAATGATTGATGCCCAACCTTATCTCGCTATCGTGAATGTATACTGCTTGCTTAGGCTTTATATCGAGCTTTGGTGTATTTCATTCTGTATGTCTCTCGCTCACTGATATCGCACATGGTCGGTTATGTTGCATCGCGATAATATTCTGCTCCACTCTGTTATCTCTACTCTGTTGTCTCCTTCATCTGTCTGCATCGACCAGTCGAGACGGCGTGTGTTATGGTGGATGCTGCTGAAGTAGGCATCACGGTATCGACTGGACAACTGATAAGAGACGTGTCCTGTCGAAGGACACTATAGAACTGTCTGTGGGGTATTACGAGGACACCTGACTCCCTACACACCTGACTTCAGAATGATTCGGTTTTCGCGTAATTTCGCCTACTGTACCCGATGTTGTGCAGCTCTTAGGCCACTTTTGCTCTGCCTAAGCCATCAGCCTTTGCATCAGGCTACCGATAGGTCCTATGGCTTTCTTGCCCAGCACTGCATCTCGAGTACCGTCTCTTTTTCTACACACCGCTTTTTCGATCCAGCCATCTTTGGTGATGCTCATAGCCACTGTCCGCCTGTCGGACCATGTGATGGTGATCTGTCTGACCGCAGCATCGGCCTCAATGTCCAGAATATGTGCGGCTCCATCCCCGTCTTCAGATGCCTCAATATCAGAACTGGCATCATCATCGCTCACAAATGCGTTCAGGACATTGCTGGTTGATGCAGTTGCCAAGTCCTCACTGTCCCGTCTTTGCTTCATGAGCCCTGTCTCTTTCCTCAACTTTCTTACAGCATCAGCTCGCATGTTCCAGCTCACAAGCTCTTTCCGCAGTAGACGTCCGAAGCGTACCAAGTCCTGCTCTGGATCATGTTCCTCATCTTTCCCGCTTCCTGGTAACCATTTGGCAGCTAACTGTTGGAGTGGTATGCATGGAGGAATGGTGTGCTTGTGGATGCTCAGAAGTTTCTTGTCTCCCTTGTCTCGGACGCTCAGCAGAACATGGTACGTGTCAATGAATTTCTCGGCGACAGAAACATCAATGCTAACGCCGAGGATGTTCCCGTCATTGGCTGCATGCGGATCCGGATCTTTGACTCTGTAGGCAGTTACGCCAGCGCATGCACGATATACGTTTTCAAGATTGCGCTTTGATTGTTGCGTGATGGTTTGCTGGGCCTTGTCGGAAGATTTGCTGCGTTCATCTCTGTTCTGAAGACGTGCTGCGAGGTGGGGTTGCGACAACAGGACTGACGACAGGTTCGCGCGCTGGGCTTGTAGTGTCGCTAGGCGAGTGTGAAGGTCACCAATTTCGTCGTCAAGCTGTTCGACTGTCTCCATTTTGGGTTTTGTGTATTAACGCTGGATATACAGTATACACCGTATGTGTAAGTGATGCGACGCTGTTCCACGCGCGTCGACAGGTTCGGCGCGTTGGCACGTGAGTAGGTGTGGCGTTGGTAGGGGTCAAGTGGCATGAACCCCCGGCTCGCCTAGTGCTGCACCGCCGTTCTTAAACTCTCATTGAGGACACGGTTGAAGCGTCAGACGCACCTCGGTTCCGTGGCGATCATTGTTGCATCTGCATCTATTAGTGCTGCTGTCCATAAATCCCTCGCTCTTTTTGTTTGCTAGTCGCTCTCTACCCAGTAACACTTTTCAAGGATTTCATCTTCTCTTTCCTTCGCCCCAAACCCCTAGTCGCTGATCCCTGACATCACCCACCTGCCCACATACGACTTGTATCACCAACACCTACTCCGAGATTCCCGCTGTTCCCCCTCTTCAATTTCAATCGGGCCAGCAACACACACAAATGAGCAAACGAGGCTCGCGATCCAAGAATCGTGGCTCTGTACTCCGAGAACAGGGCTCGACCGACTCGCTCAAGGAAAAGAAGAACGGAGATGCGAACACGACCGCGACCATGAACGGCGCAATATTGGAACATCGGCGCAAGCATGCTTCTTTCGATAGCACTTCGCCCTCAAGTCAAGCTGCGTCGCTGATGGGCAATCCCAACTTCTCGCTCGATGACGAAGTACCTAAGCTAGGACAGGAGGACGAAGGACCATCCAAGGGCTTTTTTGAACTCTCAAAGAAAGACCAGAGCAACTTCTTATTGCTGGTTCTGCTGTACTTTCTCCAGGGTATACCCATGGGTCTGGCGCATGGCTCCGTACCGTTCCTCTTGAAGCACAGTGTCTCCTACGCCGCGATTGGTGTCTTTTCGCTTGCCGCGTATCCATACTCATTGAAACTTCTTTGGAGTCCAATCGTGGACGCAGTCTGGTCGCCTACTGTTGGCCGTCGCAAGAGCTGGATTCTGCCAATTCAGACAATCTCTGGGTTTTCTATGATTTGGCTGGGCAAGAACATCAACCGCATGATGAAAGAGGCTGGCGAGACAGACAGCGGGGTTTGGACCTTCACATGGTGGTGGTTCGCGCTTGTGTTCCTGTGCGCCACCCAAGACATTGCTGTAGATGGTGGGTAACACTTCTAGACTTAAAGTGGCAAGACTGACAATACCAGGCTGGGCACTTACTCTTCTCTCAAAGGAGAATCTCGCATACGCCTCTACTGCGCAAACCGTCGGCCTAACCGCAGGTCAATTCCTCTCGTACACTGTATTTCTGGCCTTCAACTCGAAGGATTTTGCGAACAGGTGGTTTCGCAGCACTCCCGCAGAAACGGGCATCATGGAGCTGGATGGCTACCTTAGCTTCTGGGGCTGGGCCTATCTGATTGTCACTTTCGGATTGGCAGTCATGAAGCGCGAAGACCGTGACAGGAACGGCGACGGCATTGGAGAGGTCTACCGCACCATGTGGGGTATCCTCAAGTTGAAGAACATCCAAAGCTTCATCATCATTCACCTCATTGCAAAGATTGGATTCCAGGCGAACGATGCTGTCACGAGTCTGAAGCTCTTGGACAAAGGCCTAAAGCAGGAGCAGTTGTCACTTGTCATCCTGGTGGACTTTCCCGTTGAAGTTTTCCTGGGCTACTACATTGGCAAATGGTGCCAGACGTACCCTCCGATGCACATTTGGTGCTGGTCATTTGTTGGCCGCCTGGTCGCTGCAGGGTTTGCGCAGTTTGTCGTGTCGATTTTCCCAGCTGGAGGTGCATCGAGTGGATTCCTCCTACTCGTCATTGCGGAGCATGTGCTCTCGACTTTTATGAACACAGTCATGTTTGTCGCTGTCAGCGCCTTCCACGCTAAGATCTCTGATCCATTGATCGGCGGCACATATATGACTCTTCTCGCCACGTAAGTTCAGCTTGCCTCATCACACCACTTGGATTTGTAATTGACTTGAAATGCAGTGTCTCGAACCTTGGTGGAACATTTCCACGCTACTTTGTTCTCAAGGCAGTTGACATGTTCACCTCGGCGACTTGCATGCCGCCTGCTGGTGGGCTCAAGGCTGGCCTGAAAGGACCCCTCGTCACGCAGCCTTTCTCGTGCGCCGTTGAAGCCGAAAAGCATCGGTGCATTGAAGGAGGAGGCGTGTGCAACGTCACAACGGATGGATACTACATTGTGAACATGCTATGTATTCTGATTGGAGTATTGACATTCTGGGGGTATATCAAGCCTGCGGTGATGAGGATACAGGCATTGCCATTGCGCGCGTGGAGAATTGCTGGGTAGAGGTCCGCGGACACATGTATTTTGTAGTATGTAGGGCATAGAGTTAGAGCCTGTTATGGAATGGATGTACCCTGCAAGACTGCTGAACGTGTCTTGTCGGTTGCGACGGTCAATGCTAGTGTTGGCTGCAGTGAGGCTGAAAAGTTTAAATTCAATGTACTTGAGACGATGGCGAGTTTCCAAGACGCTTGCGCACGTTTGTCCCGCGCTCGCGCGCTCTCCCGTGATCAGGCGTGTGTGGGTAGCCAATAGTTCGAGACCTGATGCAACTGACAAAGACGCAACTGACAAAATACGCCGAAGATGCCGAAGGACTGGAACCGCGGCGCAGCATTTTGACTTTCTTGGGATTTCTGACATATCAGGCCATGTGCGTCTGCAGCGGGCCGGCATTAGTGTGGCAAAACCCTTAAAGAGAGCCCTGTACTTGCGCGCACTCTGATAACACGAGCACATCTCCAATCACGACTTACTCCAAAGCACCTACAATCCAAACAGGGCCCCCAGTAAACGTTGACGCTTAGCTGAGTACGGCTAGTCGCTTGGACCACGCGTTTTGACATCTGTCGCAAGCAGCCTGCTAGACTTAAATTTCTCTTTGGCCTTTCTTCCCTTGATTCCTATTCGCCTACAGCCATACCGCAGTCTACTACTTAAGTATCGGTTCAAACTCCCCTAACCTGAATCCGACTATACGCTCCGATTCTACCTCATCGCCGACCGCCAGTTGCGCTTTTAAAAGTCGAGTTCATTCCACGCCGATTCCGCCGAGTTCTGTCATTGTCATCAACTTGCGAACCGACTTGGACACACCGTATCGCTCCCAACTACGTAGATCTTTCCTCTCGTGTCGCGCGTCGTCCTCTTAGTACACAACCTAGCCAGAAACAATGGCCTACTCAGCATACCAGCCCAAGGCGCGGGTACAAAAGCCCGCGCCTCACTTCACCGGCACTGCTGTTGTCGATGGTACATTTGAAGGTACATTGATATAGCCCTTGACAAGACAGGGCGATATATACTAATTGTCTCTGTCCAGAACTCAGCTTGACCGCCTACACATCCACCAAGCAATGGCTGGTCCTTGGCTTCGTCCCCATGGCCTGGACCTTTGTCTGCCCGACCGAGATTCTTGCGTTTAGTGATCGCGCCGCTGATTTCGCCGCCCGCGGCGCCAGTGTTGTCTTCTCCAGCACAGACAGCGAGTACAGCTTACTTGCATGGACCAACGCAAGCAAGAGAGACGGAGGGCTCGGCAAGATCAACATCCCCCTGCTTAGCGACAAGAACCACAGCATTGCGAAGGACTATGGTGTCTTGATTGAGGAAGAGGGCATTGCCCTCCGTGGACTTTTCTTGATCGATCCCAATGGCATTGTACGACAGATCACTATCAATGATCTTCCCGTCGGACGTTCAGTAGACGAGACTCTCCGTCTGATTGATGCCTTCCAGTTCACAGACAAGTACGGCGAGGTACGTATGCCTGCTATACGGTCTTCCAACCCATGTATATGCGGAGTTAAATGCTAACTTTGGTTCTCTAGGTCTGCCCCGCAAACTGGAACCCTGGTGATGAGACCATCAAGGCGACCCCCGAAGGCAACAAGGAATATCTCGCCAAGGTCCACGTTGACACCAAGATGTCAGATGTTGCGGCCAAGACAAATGGTAAGTCTACATGGCGCTGGACATAGTCGCGTGTCGGAGAATTCTGCAAATGCAGTGTGCTGATATCTTATCTTGCAGGTACTTCTTGAGTTAGATTGTTTGAGCCTGCTGAATCATGCGATGTTAGCATCTCGATGCCTCGAGGCTGTCTGCATTGATTGGCGCTGCTTTGGCATCTGTAATTAGTTTTCGGCCCTACAGCTTCACCATGCTGTCTTAGCGATCAACATTCCCCTCTATAGACCGTAGAAATTCTAAATTATATAATCACCGCGCCTGTTAGTCCTGCACGCCAAGTAAAATGGTGTTCCAGGCACAGCGGTATGATGCAAGTGTGCTATACGAATATGTGGTCCAAAAGCTCGGTGTGGATTTAATCAAGCAGTGCATATTGTGAGACGAATTGTCCAATCATCAATGCAAACACGTTGCATGTATATACCGTGTATGGAATGCATGCGTTAGCGCTCGCTTGGCACACGGCTTTGCGCGAACGCCTTCGGTCTACCCCTTTCGATAAGGTCCACGAGCGACTCTCCAATCATGGAGCCGCGACTAAATGCATTACTAGACCTCTCCAGCCCAGGCGGCATGCCGTACGCGACAAATGCACCCGATGTTACTACGTCCAGCTCGCATAGGCCACCGCACCAAGCCGATTCTACTTTTGTGCGGCCCAAAGCGCTGATGCTGGCGAACTCATTGTCGCCAGACAACACCCAGGCCAACGATTTCCGAAAAGAAGTACATGACAAGATCCACCCAACGCGAGCAATGCCTAGTGCTCCTATAGCACAGGTACTCAACAATGAGGCCAATCTGCTTTCTTCACAATCTGTTCCCAATACTTTTGCTCCCTCTACGACCCCATTCAGCGGCCGACTAGTGGATCTCCTCCTGGAGAGTCCCGAGCATACAAAACAACGATGGGATCAAGACCAGCAATTCTTGCAGCCCGACAATACGGGATACAGCCCTTCTGTAATCAAGCTCCCCAGACTTCCACAGCCTCCCAAGAAGACGGCAAAACGGCCTAGGATACCGCCGCTATTACAGGGCTTACATCAGCCTCCACCTTTACCACCTGAGGGCAGGTTGTTCCCGCCAATCACTGGAGAGAAAAATGCTTTTGCTGGTGAAAGAGGATACGATTCACTATTTGAAGAACCAAGAGGTAAAGATGTGGATGACCATGCTTTTCTTGAAAACAACACCCAGGAACTCGTTAGGAGTGCTCAACATGGCGAGTATGGCCCAAATAGTCAGGTGGCAGCACAGAATGCCCCGCTGAGTGGAGTACCTACTGTTCAAGAGGCCAAGGCCCAGTCGAACCAGGAGATAAGTCCTCCTAGTCAAACCCAGATTAAGCGTGGAAAGAAGCGAACCAAGTGGTCAGAGCAAGAGACCAAGGATCTGCTTATAGGCGTGAGCAGATTTGGTATTGGAAGCTGGAAGAAGATACTGCAGAGTCCAGACTTTACGTTCAACAACCGCACCGCTGTTGATCTGAAAGACCGATTTCGCGTGTGCTGTCCTGGTGAAGGTTTGAAACCCAGGCAACCAAGGGCCAGCGTCAAGGAAAAGCACTCAGTGGACGCTGTAGATACCCACCCTGACGGTCACGGTAAGAGTGCAGAACAAGGGCACAAAACAAACAACTCTGCATCTGCATCCTCAGATTCTACAGTAGCTACACGTACAACCAAAGCTACCGCTACAATGCCCAACCTCTCTGAGCTGGGTATCCACGAGCCCTTTTCTAAAACAGCACGCCGCCCGCGACGCCCCTTCACAGCAGCCGATGACGTGAACCTACTCAAAGGATTCGAAAAATACGGCCCAGTCTGGCACTCCATGCGTGACGACCCGGAGCTCGAGTTCGGATCGCGACATGCAACAGACCTACGCGACCGATTCCGCATCCGGTACCCAGAACGCTACGTAAGAGCAGGCTACAAGCTCAAAAATAAAGAAAAAGAGCGAGAAAGAATGCGAAGAGGCATAGACATGGAAACCGACGCTACCTCAGCAGTAGAATCCTCTCCATCTCTCACCACACCCAAAGATAAACCTCACGACGAAGCAAACACCATCGCTCTATCTAAACCCCCAACCATAACACCGTTATCCTACCCATCCACCAACAGCGTCCCCCTCACCTTCTCCCAACCCCCGCTCTCCTCCCACCTCCAATACACAACTCCAACCACCACCAATGGCCCATCCCTCAAACCCTTCACAACATCCTCCTCGTACCTCGCCGACCCCTTACCCACGCTCTCCTTCTCCGACGAAGAAGACATCACAGACGACATGGCGCATAACGCGCATTCAGGCGGCGGCGACCAAAGCCCCGTGACGCTGAGTCGGAATATTCTGCGCTGGGCTGATGCGAACCCTTCGTCTTTGTATTCGTTTGTCCCCAGGGCTGGAGGGTATAGGGCTGCTAGCGGAAGCATTGGTGGGGGAGAAAGACTGATGGGGTTTGGAGGGGGTAGTGAAGGGGTAGGTGGGAGTAGTAGTACTGGTGCTGTGTTGGCTGGAGGACAACAGGTGCAACAGCAGCAGCAGCAACAACAACAACAACAAGGTGATGGCATGATGAGGAATAATATCCTTCCCGAAGCAGAAGGCTGGTCTTTTGCGGATCGAACGGCGAATCTGGCGTCGTTCAAGTATCGAGGTTGAAGCAAAGAAGGAACAATAACGAAGTCACAGTTTGGAATTATGACGGGTAAACGACAAGATATGGTATACTACATGGGAAATTGCATCTTTGTTCATTATCTTCATACACCCTTTCCGTGTTCCTGAATTACCTAGCACTTTGGCAAACGGCCAGACAAAACTGTCTAAAATCGCCTCGAGTCGCTTCTTCAAGGTCTTCTTCAACCATGCGTCCGTATTTCTCTTCGTACTCGTTCATCACGCGCATGAGGTGCATGCGATCCCAGTGGAAACGGACAAGGCGCGAGATAAGCAGCTCGACGCGCTGTTGGCGGTCGTGTTTGCTGGATGTAGAGGAAATGCGGCTGCCAGAGGAGCGGCCGTCCGCGGGGGGTTCGATGAGGTCAATGAGGGCGTGGTGGAGGAGCATGGCGTCTCGTGCGGGTCGGTTGACTGGGGAAGGTTAGTACACGAGTACCTTGTTGAGGTGAAAGTGGTAGGGGAGAGGGGGAAATTGACTTACTGACGCCGTTGAGAATATGTGCAATGACTTCGCCAACGAGATTGTTACTCTTCTTTAGTGCGTCCCTAGCAAAGTTTCCTTGATACTTTCGCTCGTACGTTCGGAGCACCTCGCGCAGATGCGCATCGCTCCGCATGACAACGATGCTCAGCATGACGCTTTCACCGCCTTCTCTGGCGTTGATGGCTTTCCACAGCGTATCGACGTCACGGTTGCGGTACTCGGCTGGCCAGACATCGCTCTCTTCCTGCCGTGTGGCGTCCAGCGCCATCAAGATAGCTTTGCGGAACTTGTCTGCCTTGAGCTCCTTGTCCATGCAGCGTGTGAGCGAATCGCCGTATCGCTTGTCCTTGAATGCGTCTTTGATCTCGCGAACCTCGTGATTTTGACGGCCCATGAGGGCTTCTATAAGAAGTTCACGGCGCGCAGAGTTGGACTGGTACCAGTAGTTGGCCCAGTAGCCCTCGCTCTCATACTTTCCAAGAGCAGTCACGTAGGCAATCTTACCAAAGTTACCGCTTGTCTTCAACTTGATATGCTTGGCAATGTTGATTCCCCTGCCCTGGACCTTGCAATGCCGCTTGTACTCAGCTCTCAGCTCGAGCATCTGATCGTGCGAAAGTATAGGAATGATGTCGATGATAGTATCTACGTTGGGTGTTCGTCCAGCCATGGCATTGACAAGTGCAAGAGCATCATCGGTAGCATCGTATATCCTAACCCGACGTTTGTCCTTTTCCTTCTCTTGATAACGGTCGCCAGAGCCATATGCCGCCAGAGCCAGTTTGTCAGCATGTTTGGAAGGCTGTGACCGGCTTGGGGATCGACGCGAGGATGAAGGAGCGCGGCTGCGGCTGCGGCCGTGCTTAGAACGGCGAGAATCTCGGGGTTCGAGACTGTCGAGCGGTTGCAGGTCATCGAGGTCGTCGTCCAGCATCAGTGCCTGTGGCATAGGACTGATTGACTGATAAGTACCATGGTAGGCTTCAAGAAGAGGACTCGGTGGTGGAAGTCCGCCAGGATATCCGCCAGGCAAGCCTCCCGGTACAATCGTCTGCAAGTCAGGCCTGTTGCCGCTCACAGACAGCCTATCCATGCGCAACCCCTCGGGTTTACCTGGTGCACCAAGGTGACCCTGCGGACGCATTTCCACGACATTGCGACCCTCAGTCGGACTCACAACACCAGTGTATGAAGACGCACGGTGGTGTTCGGGGCGCGGCGAGTGACGACCCATTGGAGGAGGTGGGAAGGGTTGCCCATTAGCTGAAGGCGGAGCAGGAGCTTGTGGCATAGTCGTGTATTGGGGCTGCGAGGCTGGCGCCTGCGAAACCGTTGTGTACTGGGGCTGTGAGGCTGGCGCCTGCGAGGTCATTGTGTACTGAGGTTGCGACGGAGGAGCCTGTGGCCTAGTCGTATACTGAGTGGTTGGCGACGCGACATTAGGCACAGCTGTGTACTGGGGTTGCGGCTGCGTAGGGTAAACGGGCTGTGAGTTGTGTCGCACATGAGGCGGCTTGGAATCTGCTACTGGCTTCGCAGTATATGTGATGGTTGGCGGAGGATTCGCATACTGAAAAGAGCCGTCTCTCCCCGTCGTACTCGATGTCCTGCTATGGCCAGAGGTTGGGGCGGCCGTGTACGAGAAGTTGTTGGCGGTGGATGCATACTTGACATTGTTTGCATTGGCATATGTAATGTTAGCAGCCGGGGGAGCTGCAGTTGCAGGATGCGCGAATGAAGCGGCGTGGGGTGCATAGCCGGGGCGTTCGTGGGGAGGGAGGTCACTGTAGTTGCCCATGGTTATGGGCTCGCTGCGTGATCTGGTCGCCATGTCTCAGCTGAGTTGTCTTGCGCGAGGTTTGTTGGAGACATTCTCCAGAAGTCAGATGTCGCTCTACTCACGTCGCATATTGCTGATCTGGCTGCCTGATCTCGTACTGCGGGGTCGAGGCTCCGTCAGCTGGCCCATATCGCTGAGGCTCTTGTGCATGGCTATGGCTGCGGCTGCGCGAATGGTCGCGTTCTCGACCGCGCCCCGGCGATTTGGAGCGCGAGCGCTTGGAGCCACTGTCGGGTCGTAGAGACATGGTGTTGTTGCTTTTTTTCGCTTCGCTGCCGATTGTGGCAAACTATCAATTCATATGTAAATGTGGTCGCGAGTTAGGCGCTGAGTGTCATAGCAGTAGGTTGCGCGTCAATGTCAAAAAGGCGATGGCGGGAAGCTGCCATACTACTACCGCTGTGGCCCCCATTGAGTCTGGCGCTTGCATGGTGGATTTGGGGGCCAGGCTGAACTTCGGACACACTTCTTCCTGAGTACGGAGGCATAACGAAGGATCATCTGTAGCGTCGAGTATTGCACATCAACATGCTGCAACGTCAGATGTCTGGAGTTTGAGCGGGAGCTGTCAGATTCCATGTCTAGTCGCGGGGAAATGTTCGCCGAATCCAACAGCAGCCCGCCCTGCTTTCCTTACCACGACTCCATCATGCGTCATAGCGTCGGTAGGAGTAAGGAAAATTTAAACAAAATTGATAACAATATGACTGCTGTTGAGCCGCTCCGACATATGCCGAACCCAGCACAACTATGAGTGAAGACGTGGGTCTCAACTCACCGCTTCAGCTGCCCATTTCGCCGTCACTCGGTGCAAGCTGGCGCACGTTCGCTACACAATTTCTATGGCCTAGTGATGACTGGCTCTATCGATGCGCTAATTGGTGCTTCTCGATGATAGTGGTGAAAGGGCCCTTCGGCGAAACGCCACGCTGACTAGAAGTTTGATCCTAGCTGCTGCAGACAGGCGGTCTATCAGCTCAGTTAAAGCTGAAGTGATGTCGCTGCCAAACATGGCACCCCCTTTTGCGTCCTCTTACCACATATACATACCATGGCTACCATTGCGCCCCCAGAAAATCTCCAGCTCCAATCAGCCCTTGTTCAACTGCCGTCTGAAATCAAGCACATCATCTTCAGCCTTTGCCTCGTCAGCGGTACTCCAATTTCCGACCCACAGATTACTCGCTATAACAAGGAACAGCAGAAAGGACTAGTGGACAATAGCCCCTCGAGGGTTTCTCTTCTCCAAACATGCCGCAGAATATATCATGAAATCGATCGTCGACCATTGTTCGCCCAAAACACCTTTCGTTTCTCAAGCCTAGCTACGATGCGAGCATTCCTTCAAGCACTACCGGCAAGCTATAGCAAGTGCATCCAAGACATCGAGATTGATTTGCGGAAACTAAACTCTGATCACCCCCATCTCACCCGTGAGTGGTTGCAATATCTAGCGTGGACTCAGGACGACCGCAAACCGTCCCTGCGTATGGATACAGGCGGCTTAAAGTGTCTCCGACTCAATCTCGAGGCGTGGCCTGTGATTCCAATGTACCGATGCGAGCTTTGGAATGTCCTTCGAAATATTCTGCGGGGGTTTGCGGATATTGAGAGAATCGTTGTCACCGGAACAAGCAGAGGTAAAACGATGGCTCAGAAGGCACCATGGTCGCCAATCCATTTTGTAGGCGGAGACAATGTAGGCTCGGATGACCTGATATCTCGAATGAGCAACTGCGTGGTGGCGAGACTCGGTGAACACAAGGTGATCAAATGGCTGAGGAAGGACAACAAGCTTCAGTTGGAAGTCTCATCGACGGCCCCTGCAGGCGAGAATACGGTTGCACAGCTGACTGGGTCCGGTACTTGGCCATTGAACGGAGTCTGTACTGTTTCTACTTATGAGCAATACCGCCTTGATAGCAAGGGTCCAGAGCTCAATCCCAGTGTCGACGGATGATGGGCCTGGCGGGATCCCAAGGGCCATGAATTTCGTTCTTGTACTTTTGCAGACCGATCAACCACCAACTACAGACTCCCATGCTGAGGAATGTGAGAATCCCCCCGAGGATGGCGCCGGCTATGAACGTGGCGCGGCCGTTCCCTGTCAGAGTAACGAAAAGACTGCCCCATGCGCATGTTACCAGGGTGATTGTCAGCGTGAGATGGCCCCATGGTGACCTGGCACGCAGTTGACGACGGAATATTGGGAAGAGACCGAATACCTCAATAGAGAATAGGGTCAACGAGAAGACATGGGTGGTAGATGGCAGGCGTGAAGCAAGCACTGCCGATGCCATCATTGCTGAGTTTGTAGATATCGAAGCTGGTAGTCTAGAAGCTGCAAGTTAGCCATTGAAAATGGTGGCTTGGTATGTTGTTCATACTGTGCATCTGTACCCGCGCTGTAATCAAAGAAGGCAACGTTCATCATCAATAGCCACGCGCTTATGGCCCATATTGAATCACTCGTTGTAGAGCGAGTGAGCGACTTGAGAATTGGACTGAGCCCAAGCAAAGCCGCATAGATGAGTATGGCAGATTTGGCAGTTGCCAGACGCTGCTTGGCCCTGGGCGAAAGGGTTTGTGAGGCTTGTGGCACGACATCGTCTATCTCTGACGTAGGCGTCAAAGACACACTGGCAACCGTCTTGAACTCCTGGCCCATCCAGTGATCCCACAAGACCCATGCCAGCACTGTGCACATACTGGCCCATCCGACTACGGCGACAGGTGACACCCTACCGTGAATGATGGCTACGAAGCAGCAGCAAAAGATGATGACCGACGCAAGATGCTGTACAATGACGGTTGCATCGGACATGAGCGACCAGAACTCATAGGGCTGTAGCCTAGGATTTCGCTGCAGGTGGTCAAGAAAAGTGGCCTCGTCTGTGTAATTGTCGGGGACTGTACGTGTGAGAAGAGGTATACTACTGCAGGCTGCCGCGACTCACAGGGTTGCTTGAACCACAGAAGCTTCTTGTAGTGGCCCTTTGGTTGGCGACTTGACATGCGCGACCCACTCTTCCTCTTTCTTGCAGGCCCTACAAACGACGCGCCTGTTGGGTCCAGCAGCCTGTTTGCACTCATGTCATGGAACGGGAACTTGATTAACACGAGCACGAGTGTGGTTGGGGAACCACTGGAAAGGATGAATTGTCATAATAGTCAATGACACAACGCTAGACCAAACGAGGCATGGCTATCTCCGAGGTTAACCCCGCAAGCTGAGCGCACCTCACCAAACATATCATTTGCGATTAAGTGTCGTCCAGGCGACAATGATCCTCCTTAGCTTGGGCACAGTGGCACGCCCAGCCTTTACTTTGTAGTTTTCCTGGCCCAAAACCCTTCCGATTTCCATGTAACTCTCTACTGCGACCCGAATGGGACCTCTGGCGTCAAGTGGCAGACGCTCGATAGCGTCTTTGGTCGTCTCATAGAGCGAAAATGCATCCTTCAAAAGCCGTTTGCGGAGTGTCTCGACCTGCGCTTGATTTGGCCTCTTCAGGACATCCTCATAGCTCAGTCCCACGTCGGCAAGCCATTTCAAAGGAAGGTATACACGGTCAATCTGAGCGTCTACTTCAATGTCTCGCGAGATGTTGACATATTGTAATGCCACACCCATGTTGTTACCAGCAGCGACAATGGCACGCTGCTCCTCGGCGGATAGAGTGCTAGGATACCAGTAAAAGATGAGCTCAATACACATCTGTGCGACAGTGCCTGCGACTCGCTCCGCGTACAACTGTAAGTCCTCGGTGGTTTCTATGAGCGGCGCTTTGTCGAAACCCAGGTCCATCTCAAATCCCCGGAGAAGATCCTCCAGTGGCTGGTGCGAGAGTTTAGATGTGGGGAGTTGAAGGAGCGCAGACTGGGTGTCAAGTGGAAAGTCAGCGCATATTTGGGCATGCACAGCACTACGCGCAACTTTGTCGCTGTACACATTGTTCAGGAACTTGCGTAGTTTCGCTATCCACACCTTGGCCTCCTCAGCATCAGAAGCGTTGTCCACCAAATCATCAGCTACGCGGCAGAAGGAGTAGAGTAGGAGCAGATCCGCCCGCAAAGGTCCAGGGAACGTCGCGGATGCAAGATAAAAACTGCGACTCTTGCGCTTCAGACGACGCACAGCCTCATCAAGACCCTGGAGTCGCTCAGCATCGTACTTGGAACTGAGCGTGAGAAGGGCGCGCATCAAGAGAAGTGGCGATGGCAGCAGGGAGGGGTCCTTGAACAGCCCCGGGAAGGTGTACAACACGGCTAAAGCATTGTCAAACGCCAACTGACCACACACTATCAGCGCATTAGTGACAAAGAAGAATAGAGCCTCCTCTATTTCCAAGCCATCCCACAAGTGTGCTCCGTACTTTGTCCCCACGTTTATTACCCAGGTGCCTCTACGAAGTGCCAGCGTGTCGATAATCCAGAGATAAAAGGTCGGGAGGAGGATTGGTAGCGCCGTGTTGGTCAAGGGCAGCGTGAGAATGAACTGGTATGCAAGACTCCTGCTTGGGGTTAGTGCCAGATCAAGGGCCCGCTAGGATCGGCATACCATAGTAGCAGAAGAAAAGGGCCTGCCCAAATCAAGATGAGACCAGTATATGTCCCTTCACCGCCGCTCCGAACGCACTGCCATCCCCATGCAATCATGCCCAGCAAAAACAATTGGCCGGTAAGCTTTGCGAATCGCCATAGATTCCGGGACGCACCCGATTCGATCCGCAGATAGACAGGCTGGAAAGTGGGTCTGCTGAGGAGCAGATAGAGCAATGAGGTGTTGTATGTCTGCACGACAAAGAAGAAGACCTCCTCCAGTGGAATATCATATAGTTTTGGACCGATGATGACATGGCCGGGGTAGCTCCATATGCCGGTGCGGATCAGGTACGAGTCCCATGGTATAGTTGAGGTGACAGCGACCTGAGCTGTCAGCACATGCGTGGTGGGGTGCGCCTGGGACAGCGATTGTACATACGAATATCAGAAAGAGGACCTTGTACGCGTCGAGCTTGGTGAAGAAGGGGCGGTAGAGCCAGGTGAGCAGCACGGCCGGAGGGATCGTGTACTTGAGATGCCTAGCCGTAACTGTCAGCCATGTTGTTTGCATGTCGCAACCTGAGGGTGCGTCACATACACCAGCGCGTAGTCAAAGCCCATGATGAAACCGTGGAGCAGAAAGAGACGACCAGCAAGAGGTACAGTTGGCGTCACTCGTGGACCCAATGCAAGGGAACAATCTAGGTGTAAGCCGCGGCGGACATGCGGCAGACACTGGATGTTGCAGACGCTCCATAGCAATAGCGCCAAATCGCGAATTCCATGCCGCCCCCAAAAGTCAACCGCCGGCAGTGCAGGAAGCACGTGGCCCAAAACGGGTTAGCCTCCCGTTCAAGCTTCAAACATGACATCACCACCAACCACCCGCCATCTCTTCAACAGCACCGGTTTTCCCACCTGCCAACCCGCAAATCCCGGCTCTGACAGGTACTTGCATCATGCTATCCGCTCGCGCCCCTCACTCCACCCCGCTGCCTAGCCAGGGGTTGTTTCTGCTTCCGCGGCGTGACATGACCAGACATGTGAATGTCTACTCTGCTGTATACAAGGACGTTGGCCAGCGACTCTGCTCTGCACAAACCCCACCACGCGGCCGTCCAATGCCGCCAAGATAATCACCACAGCCATGTCCAAGTCTGGACTGCCCAACAAGCCCGTCAAACGACATCCGTACGTACGCTCCATCGCGCCAGGCTCCTACAGCTCTGTCTAACCTCGTGCCAGGTACCTGTCTGGCAACTTTGCGCCTGTCACCAAATCATGGCCACCCACGCCCGTCTCATGGACGGGCCATATTCCGAAAGAGCTACTCGGGGGAATGTACGTCCGCAATGGCGGAAATCCTATGACCAATGCCGACCTGGGGCGTGAAGCACATTGGTTCGACGGCGATGGTATGCTCTCGGGTGTCTGGTTCAGTCGTTCGCCAGTGGATCCAACCAAGCCCATCGTCAACTTTGTCAACCAGTTCATCCTCACGGACGTTTACCTCACCGCCGTTCAGAATCCAGCACTACGTACACCGATACTGCCGAGCATTGCGACCCTGGTCAACCCCGCATCCAGCCTTTTGTGGATTCTCTGGCGGATATTCCGCACTGTCCTTGTCGTGATATGGACCCATATCTCTGGATCTGCCAGTACCATTAAGCGAATCAGTGTTGCAAACACTAGCATACTGTACCATGACGGACGTGCTCTGGCAACCTGCGAGAGCGGGCCACCAATGCGCATCACGTTACCAGGTCTGGAGACTGTGGGCTGGTTCAATGGAAACACCGCCGAGGGCGAACCTGCTTTGGAAGATGATGGCTACCAAAATCGCAACGAGAAGCACGAAGCGTTTGGCAGCACCGGCTTGCTCAGCTGGATGAGAGAATGGACTACTGGTCACCCAAAAGTGGACAAAGTGACAGACGAGCTGGTTCTCTTTCACTGCAACTTTGTGGCACCTTATGTTCACTACTCATTACTTCCAGCGGAGGGCTCGTCTACAAGCCAGGCTGATTCCGAAGCAAAAGCCATCGTCAATGCCCCAGTCCCCGGGTGCTCCGGCGGACGGCTCATGCATGACTTTGGGGTTGCGAGATACCACACTGTTATCCTCGATATGCCGCTCTCTCTAACTCCCCTCAACCTTGCAAAGAATAAGCCTATAGTCGTGTATGAGCCCGAGAAGCCGGCTCGATTCGGCGTATTTCCTCGTCGACATCCCGAGTTAGTTCGATGGTTCGAAACAGAGGGCTGTTGTATTCTCCATACAGCCAATACATGGGATGAGTACGACAGCAACAACGAGGTAGCAGCTGTCAACTTGCTTTGTTGTCGCCTGACTTCGGCATCTTTGGTCTTTAGTGCTGGCAATATTGAGCCGCCGCCGCATCCAAAACACAAGGAGAAATCGAAAAGCAAGCCAATGTCTTTCTTTGCGAAGTACAACGACGATGAAGATGACAAAGACCCTGAAAAGTCTTTTGTCGAAGAATCAACTCCCTTGCTAGGACCAAATGCATCAATGTTTGGCCCGGGTTCTTCATCAATGGCTTCCAACATTCCAATTTCCTACGACAACGAAGAGCAATGCCGCCTATACTATTACCGCTTCTCGCTGGAATCTGGCTCTAAGAACACCATTACTCACCAATTTGCACTATCAGCAATCCCGTTTGAGTTCCCTACAGTATCGCCAGCCACGGAAATGGTACGCGCACGGTACGTGTATGGGTGTAGCACTTCGGACGAGTCATTTGGTGCTGCTTTGGGCAAGGCGACAAAGATTGATGTGTTGGTGAGAATGGACGTCCAAGGTCTCCTGAGACATGCCCAGCACACCGCCCCGGAATCGATTACCGGATGTGTAGACAATCGGTCAATCGACGAGATTCTCGCATCAGCCGATCCCAAGGACCCGATCAAGGCATTTCGACTGCCCCCGCAGCACTTTGGCCAAGAAGCCAAGTTTGTACCCCGCAAGGCATCGAAAAAGGCCGTTGCTAATGACTCCGACTCGGATGAATTGGACGGGTACCTCCTCTTCTATGTGTTTAATGAAGATCAGCTAGACGAAGAAGGCGAGTGCAGGCCAGATGCCATCAGCGAGCTATGGGTCTTGGATGCCAGGGACATGCAGACAGTTGTTTGCAAGGTTCAGCTTGGCACGAGGATACCGTATGGTCTGCACGGCAACTGGTTTACCGAAGAAGACATTGCAAAGCAGCGGCAGGTTGAAAAGCTCAGGTGCGAGACAGAAGTCGTTTGTGATAGCCGATGGGGTCACTTGCAGAAGGCAGTTATTAGTTACCTGGGCTAGTGGGGTGAAGGAGTGGGTATATTTCAGTGCTCAGGCATCCATACATATGTACATATATGCATACATACATAGGTTAAGGGAGATGTGCGCGACTAGCAGCACCAGCCTACTAGTTGTGAGTATCTCAAACTAATGTTTAATTCCATCGTGGTCAATGGATTATCTGCTTTGAATGTGTAGAGCTACAAAGTATGGTGTAGTGAAATGTACATGTACATGCACACGGCGTTTCTGATCGATCGTGGGAAGACATGTGCAGGGCTGAGGTGGCACATGGCCAGTAACATCAGCCTTGCATAGCAATTGTGTATGCATGTAAACCTCTGGCAGGGCAGTTAAACGTGTCGATCTCCCGGCGGGAATTGCAGCCAGGCCAATCTAGTCCCACTGGTTCAGCCTCCCCTGGTCGTGGTGGTTTGAGATGGGCGAGATGGGCGAGATGGACGGGACGAATCGATGCAGGTGACGTAAATCTCATCTCAAAGTGACCAAGGGATACCTACGTCTGGCCGACGTCGATGTCAAAGTAAGCTCGTGAGATCAGCACTATAAAGCTTAAAAATGGGTGGCGTGAGGGTGGAAAGTGGGGTTGGCGCGATGCGGAAGCGTCGGACGCTAGCAGTCATACCACGACGTTAATCGCCCTCAGTATGACCGAACATAACGCCGCTCCAGCCACTCAAGCTGCCGTCCGCGGGCCATGAAGCCCATGGCCAAGTCATCGAAACACTCGCAGCTCTCACCCATCGCCCATCGCCCATGTCTTCCTCGTCTCTCGAGGTCACCACAACGTTGATCTCTGCACCCAAGCACGGCACAATGGCCAGCGAACCACTCAAACCACGGCCGTCAAAGCGGGGGACGCTACAGCCAAGTCTCCATAGTAATTCCCGCAGTTGACGAGGTCATCCAGCGTCGCAGCTTTCAGCCGTTCTCGCCTTGCTGCCCTAGGCTGGCCCGTTAGTCAGCCCTGCGATTGGAGGAGCACTGGCATGAGGTGTGATGCGACCAGTTCTAGGTGCTGCAATGTCGTCATGGACAATGAAGAAAAAAACGTCTGTGGATCGCAGCAATGACAGACTGACGGCATGACGGGATCATGGCATGGCACACATGGCCGCACATGGCCAGGCAACAAGAGATATAGTTCGAGCGTCCGCGCCTGGGTAAGGGATTGCTTGATCATCCTCCAGAGTTCACTAAAGTCTCTTGGTATCAGAACTAAATAACAGAAAAAGGCGATTGCAAAAAGTTGGCTCTTGTGTACCTGCAAGACACTGTACTTTTTTCACAATGCAGCTTGAACGCAGAAACGATGTGTTCGAACACAATGGTATGTGGACATACCATTTCGCAACTCGCCGCCCCTTTTCATGACCTGCAGTAGTAGTGCTGCAAGTAAAAGAAGTAACAACCTTGGCCTAACATATCGTCTTAGGCAACACTGTCAATGGCCGCACCGCAGACATTGGCTTGACCACCCATGGCTCCAACTTCTACTTCTCCATCTGTGCCGTCATGACTGTGGCGGGCTTTGCCTTCGCAGCCATGTCGTACCGCATTGAGCGCCGCAACCGTCTTTTCCACTACATCACGTGTGGTGTCGTCTTTGTTGCAGCCATTGCCTACTTCACCATGGGCGCCAACCTTGGCTTCACTCCTATCGAGGTCGAGTTCCGCCGCAACGATCCAGTCGTTCGTGGTACCTACCGCGCCATCTACTATGCTCGCTACGTGGACTGGTTCATCACTACGCCTCTGCTTCTCATGGACTTGCTGCTTACCGCTGGTATGCCATGGCCCACCATTCTCTGGGTCATTCTCGTCGATGAAATCATGATCGTGACTGGCTTGATCGGCGCTCTCATTCAGAGCATCTACAAGTGGCCATTCTTTGTCTTTGGTAAGAATTCTATCCTTCTCCCTTTGATAGGAAATCATGTGATTTACTAACTCCAAACCACAGGTTGCGTCGCCCTCTTCTACATCGTCTTCCAGCTCACCTGGGAAGCCCGCATCCACTCCAAGACCTTTGGCCGTGATGTCGAGCGCACTTTCTTGATGTGTGGCTCTCTCACCGCATTCCTCTGGATCCTGTACCCCATTGCCTGGGGCCTCAGCGAGGGCGGGTAAGTTCCCCACGCCTCCCAACTGGAAATTCACTTTTATTAACTCATTCACCAGCAACGTCATTGCTCCCGACAGCGAAGCCGTCTTCTACGGCGTCCTCGACTTCCTCGCCAAGCCCGTCTTCGGTGCCCTCCTCCTCTGGGGCCACCGCAACATTGAC